GGGGGGGGGGGGTTTGACGTCGCGGCTCAGCGCGGGAGGGGGGGGGTTTGACGTCGCGGCTCAGCGCGGGGGGGGGGGGGGGTTTGACGTCGCGGCTCAGCGCGGGAGGGGGGGGGGGTTTGACGTCGCGGCTCAGCGCGGGAGGGGGGGGGGGGGGGGGGGTTTTTGACGTCGCGGCTCAGCGCGGGAGGGGGGGGGGGGGTGGTTTTGACGTCGCGGCTCAGCGCGGGAGGGGGGGGTTTGACGTCATGGTACAGTGTGGGGGGTGTTGGTGTAGAGGAGTGGGACAGCTGACCCTTGCGGTTGAACATGGAAGGGGGGGGGGGGGGGACCGACAGCATTTTTGGGGTTGACTTTTGCGGCCCATGATTGGAGGGATGTGAAGGCTGACCTGTGCGGGGGAGGGGGGGGACCGAAGTTTCGGTGACAGTATATGGGATGTGATGTAGTTGTGGATACAGGAGGGGGGGAGGGGTCTCTGACACGTGGTCTCCCGGCTATGACAGTCGGGATCCTGGGGGCGGGGAGATGATCGGATGGTCTCTGGCCGCGGTCACGGCGCACGTGTCTCCTCCTCTCCCGGCTCTTTGTCTCAGGCGAGCTCCGGGCTGTCGCACATGGACCAGGCCGCATCCAACATGGCGGCTCCCAGTGCCGTGAGGGGAGCGGGGCCGGCGGGAGGATCGGAGACGGGACAGCACCTCTCATTGTCACCGGGCAGGGTTCCCTGGACTGGGCTCATCGCCTCCCATCCAGTGTGTTCCCGTACAAGGACCCCGGGAGGAGTGTGCAGTCCGATCTCCGGTGGAAGGGGTTAATAAGCAGTAATAGTTGGTGGGGTGTACAACACATTCCCTCCTGTGTGACCCCAGTCTGCCATCTACTCTTCTGGGGTTGTCACTGGGACAGGTGTCCCCAGTGGACATTTCCCAGCACCTCCACCTCTGGTGACCCCGGCCACATTCTGGATATCACATCCTGTTGTGTGTCAGTGATGCAGTACACAGGAAGGCAATCCAGACTTCACAACTGAAGTAGCGGTTTGGCTGGGTGCCGATGTAACCCCTTCATGACCGAGGGTAACCATTGTGCAACTTTGACCTGTTAGTAAGACTGTACATATCATCACAGCTACGTGCTGTACACAAGTGACATATACCAAGGTTTATTTATTTATTTTTTTTGTATATGCTCAGTCAGGGACGGACTGACAACTCATGGGGCCCCCGGGCAATAGGGGATCATGGGGCCCCTGTGTCCTTGCCCAAACCTCATGGGGCCCCCTACTGACCCCGGGCCCTCGGGCAGTGCCCGAGCTTCCAAATGGTCAGTCCGCCCCTGTGCTCAGTACTACTTTTTAAATGTACCGTATCACACTGCATAGTACTGCACTACCATGCGACTTGTTGCTTGCAAACACTGCATTGTGGTCTGCATCTGGGGTGCTTTTACCAATCGCCACTCAAATGCAGATCATAAGGGCAGTGTGGGGAGCGTGCCTTTCCCACACCACATTCTAGTCGCAGATAGACCAAGATGGGTACATCCCCGCATGTAGCTAGGGGGGATTGGCAGCACAGTGGCTAAATGGTTAGCACTTCAGCCTGGCAGTGCGAAGGTCATTGGTTGATATGCCAACCACTGAACCACCTGCTTGAAGTTTGCATGTTCTCCCCGTGCCTGCGTGGGTTTCCTCCGGGTACTCTGGTTTCCTCCCACACTCCAAAGACATGCTGGTAGGTGAATTGGCTCCTGTCTAAATTGTCCCTAGTATGTGTACGTATGAATGTGAGTTAGGGACTTTAGATTGTACGCCCCTTGAGGGTTAGGGACTGATGTGATGTACAATATATATGTAAAGCGCTGCGTAAATTGACCGCTATAAAAGTATCTGAAATAAATAAATATTTTGTCCTGATGTATGTGGAGAGCGGAACAAACCTTTTACCAGAATGTCAGTGCCCACCACTCACAGCTTACTAACCTTTGTTGGACCACTTCTGCAAAGTAGCGGTGCGCGGGCGATTGAGGTGGAGGTGTGGCGGCGCACAGGCTTATGAGGCGGAGGAGGCGTGGCAGCGTGCGGGCATATGAGGCGGAGGTGGTGTGGCGGTGCGCGGGGGTGTATGAGGTGGAGGAGGTGGTGCGCGCGGGCGTATGAGGAGGTGGTGTGTGCGACGGCGACGGGCGGCGCGCGGGCGTATATGAGGAGGTGGTGGTGTGGCGACGGCGGCGCGGGGGCGTATGAGGAGGTGGTGTGGCGACGGGCGGCGCGGGGCGTATGAGGAGGTGGTGTGGCGACGGCGGCGCGCGGGCGTATGAGGAGGTGGTGTGGGCGACGGCGGCGCGCGGGGGGCGTATGAGGAGGTGGTGGTGTGGCGACGGCGGCGCGCGGGGGCGTATGAGGAGGTGGTGTGGGCGACGGCGGCGCGCGGGCGTATGATGAGGAGGTGGGCTGGGGTGGCGACGGCGGCGCGCGGGGCGTATGAGGAGGTGGTGGCGTGGGCGGCGCGCGGGCGTATGAGGAGGTGGTGCGGCGGCGCGCGGGCGTATGAGGAGGTGGGGGGCGGCGCGCGGGGTATGAGGGAGGAGGGTGGTGGGCGGCGCGCGGGCGTATGAGGAGGAGGAGGAGGAGGTGGTGGTGCGGCGGCGGGGCGGGCGTATGAGGAGGAGGAGGAGGTGGTGCGGCGGCGCACGGGCGTATGAGGGTAGGAGGAGGAGGTGGTGCGGGCGGCACGCGGCGGGCGTATGAGGAGGAGGAGGAGGAGGAGGTGGTGCGGCGGCGGCGCGGGCGTATGAGGAGGTGGTGCGGCGGCGGCGCGCGGGCGTATGAGGAGGAGGAGGAGGGTGGCGGCGGCGGCGGCGCGCGGCGCGCGGGCGTATGAGGAGGAGGAGGAGGTGGTGTGGCGCGGCGGCACGTGGGCATATGAGGAGGGTGGTGGCGTATGAGGCGTGGCGGCGGCACGCGGGCGTATGGAGGAGGAGGAGGTGTGCAGGCATATGAGGAGGAGGAGGCGGCGGCGCGCGGGCGTATGAGGGTGAGGAGGTGGCGGCTCGCGGGCTTATGAGAGGGAGGTGGCGGCGTGCAGGCGTATGAGTATGAGAGGAGGAGGCAGCGGCGCGTGGGCGGAGGAGGAGGAGGATGTGGTGGGCGTGCTTATGAGGAGAAGGTGGCGGCGCGCGGGCGTATGGAGGAGGAGGCGGGCGGTGTGCAGGCAGGCGTATGAGGAGAAGGTGGCGGCGCGCGGTCGTATGAGGGTGAGGAGGCGGCGGCTTGCGGGCTTATGAGAGGGATTAGGTGGCGGCGGCGTGCAGGCGTATGAGAAGGTGTGGACGGGGCGTATGAGGAGGAGGAGGATGCGGTGGGCGTGCGTATGAGGAGAAGGTGGCGGCGCGCTTGCGGGCGTATGAGGGGGAGGGGCAGCACTTCTGGAAGAAAGGTGTGATTTTCTGCTACTAAACCTGGTGTGTAGCTGCAGATAATCCATCCTGGAGGCGGCACTTTCCCTCCTAACCACGACTAAACATTGCTGATGTATGAATAACATGATTACTTTGCGTTGTGTGAATTCAGCTCCTTGTAGAAAAGCCTTCTAAATGCAGCTAAAGTCTGAAAATTTAGATTTGTAAAATGCTCTGCCCTTGACCTCTGACCCTAACCTGACTGTTTTTGTTTGTTTTTTGTTGCCCCTGAATGCAGCTCTAGGTTATCTTTTGTACATTGTGATGTTTACAGTCATGTTCAAGAGCAGCATTCAGGGACATAAAAAAAGATTCCTCAAACCTGCTTTCAGAGGAGCTTTCCAGCCAAACTTCCACATGTAAATTTTTTTTTTTTCTTGCGGCTAACATATTTAATCTAGCCAATATTATCCGTTTGCACACAAATGCATCAAAACACAATATGCACATAGAAACACAGCGTTTAGAAGGATTTTTTTTTTTCTGCCAAATTTAGGTAGCATATTTAGAGCACTTTTTGTTGAGTCCTTACACTGCTTTTTGTTTAAAATGTTCTCCTCTTGTAAGATGATGATACAGTGCATCTTTCTGTTTTTATGATTAGAAAAGCTAGGTGTGGGCTGAACAATGACTGATTAGAAGCTCAGGATCAGGTGACTGGGAACCAAGCCTCCAGATTCCTAATCGATCGTAAAGACTCTGGGCTCTTGGAGAGGTCGGTCTCTGTGCTGGGAGCGCGCAGTGCAGTGTACTCTCAGTGCAAACACGTATATGTATATATGCAGCCACGTGGATAAGGACCCACTTCCATGAGGCCACATATACTTATTGGAAAGCGTTAAGGACTTAGAACGTGTGTGTTTTGTTTTTCAGTTCTGCTCCCCAACTCCTCAGTAGAACTTTGTCCCATGTTGTTGGGTACTTCCTAAGCCTAGTTATGAGGTCTGACCTTCCCCCTCTCGTTTCTTCTCCCCTGCAGCAAATCCGACAACAGCTAGTTAGGAGGAACTAATAACGACATCTTGTCTGAGCAAACAAAGAATGCAGAGACAGGCTTTTTTTTTTTTTTTTTTTTTTTTTTCTTCAAATCTATGAAAAAAGAGGTGCCGAGTAAATGGATACCAAACATGTCAAGCTTTAAAATGCAGCCATGAATAAATGACAAACTTCTGTACCCTAAATATTCCGTAGGCTACAACATGTCATCAGTTTGAGGGCAAGTTCACACCACAAAAGCGCACTCCAGATACGTTTTTGCTTACCGTTAACACCACACACCGTTCCAGTGCAGTTTTGATGTAGTGTGCCATGTTCCAGTATGGATGTGTGCCGAAAAAAATACATCATGTTCTACTTTATTTTTTTTTTTGTACCTGGAACTGACTGCCCTGGTGTGAACCAGGGCCATTGGAATACATGGAAAACACTGTGCATTCATTTTTCGATACAATAAAAAAAAAAAACCCGCACTGGACCACCTAGTGTGAACTAGCCCTCAGTTATGCCTGGTACACACCGAGGAGCTTTGTGCTAACTATCCGATGTTGGTACAACAATCTCATCACCAGGGGCAAACTGACAACTCATGGGGCCCCTGGGCAATAGGGGATCATATGGGGCCCCTGTGTCCTTGCCCAAACTCAAAAAAGCCTATGAAAAAGGTACCAGGGGCATCTCATGGGGCCCCCTACTGATCCCGGGCCCAAGTTTCCAAATGGTCAGTCCGCCCCTGCTCATCACTGAGCTATTGTGTTCTGACAGGAGGACAGCCATTGGCTGCAAGTGCTGTTGGTCACATGCCTGATGAAGGGGTCCTGTGAGACTCCGAAACGTTTCCTTGCTATAACTATGTGATCATTTTATTAAACATTTGGAGCCATATTGGTGATCCTCGGTGTGCTGGTGACATCCTCTCTTGCTGATTCTGTTTTGGTTCCAACCACCGATCACTGCAGCACCCACTTATACACACCGCCATTTTTAACGCAGGAACGTGTGCGTTTGGTTTGTACACTTGCTGTTCAGATGCAGATCGCCAGATTTTCCAGCATGCCTGTTCTACAGAAACAGGACCGGCTGCTATACACATTGGCCGAGAGTCAGCCAGTGTTGAACTGGCCCATATTTGGCCCGTGTGTACCAGGCTTAAATAATTCAAAATTGGCCCCAGAATGATCCCTCCCGAAATGTTGTACAAAGACCCTTCTAATGGGTGCGTTTGTGTTCCTGTGTACATGAGAACGGAGCAGGATCAACATTATTTTTGTTTTATATTCAAATCTCCAAGTTGTAACAGTAGTGTTGGTTGTCCTTGAGACAGTATTGTGTGACCAGTTCGGATGCAGTGTAGCGCCACAAAGCACTTCCAGAAACTGCTTTGAAATGTTGACTTGTGTTTACAATATCACTCTGTACTTTGCAATCTGTCCTTTTTAACTGCTTCCTGACCGCCCTATAGGAAAAATACTACTACAGGGCGGCACGTGCACAAAATCACGTGTGTATGTATATATGTGATTTTGCATTACCGTGCGCAAGTCCTACCTGTGCAAGCCTTGACCGTCAATAATTGGGTCCTGGCCGGTGATTACTCGCTGGCGCCCAGAGATTTCCGAGGACCTCTGATGGGGAGAACTGTTTTTATTTATTAACAGTTCTCCCTGTCCACTCGTGCACACTGCTTTCAGTGACACAAAGTCACGGTGTCTGCTGCAGTCCCACTATAAGTCGCTGATTGCTGCCATTACTAGTTAAAAAAAATAAATAAATAAATCCAGTATATATACCGCCATTTGTAAATGCTATAACTTTCACGTAAACCATTTAAAATTTACAGGCCTCAGGGCCTAGCCAGTGCACAACTGCACAGACACTTTATTCATTTTTTTTTTCTCCCACATTTTGTCACCTTTTTTACTTTTGTGGGTTTTTTTTTTTTATTTTTTCCTCACACTAAATAGGCAGTGGGTCCTCGGGCCTGCTCTGAAGTCCAGGGGGGAGGATGCGTGGCCATTAGGTTCCTTCCTCACCTGTCCCCGAGGGGGGGTCTCTCTTTGGGAGAGCCCCACAACCTAGTACTTGGTGGTCAACTTTGGCTAGCCACAAGCAAAGAGGTCCGCCAGGCCTTTTGACTAGGTGGACCATGTGGAAACCTTAGTCCCTGTCAGGAGCCTTGCGCCCCAGGGGATCAGGGTAGAGATGCTACGTCTTTGGGGGGTGGAATAAAGCACACCGCTAAGTGCACTTATTTTTGTGTTTTTGCACTTGCACGTTTTTTTTGTCCACTTAATTTGCATGTATTGGTCCTTTTTTGCACTATTACAAAGAAAAAAAAAATACACAGGCGATCAAATATCACCAAAAGAAAGCTCAATTTGTGGGAGAAAAGGATGTAAATGTAATTAGGGTGCAACATTGCATAACCGCACAATTGTCAAAGTAACACAGTGCTGTAATGCAAAAAAATAGCCTGGTCTGGAAAGGGGGGGGGGGGGGGGGGGGCGGTAAATCCTCAGAAGGGCAAGTGGTTAAAGCAAAACTTTCTTTACTGGAGAGATTAGAACACGTCAGGTTTTTATTGCGGTTTCTGCCCCCATTAGGGAGATTTACCCTCTTTGTCCTGTTATCCCTGGGAGTGAAAGGAAAATCTTGCATCTTATGTCACCGGATTAGAGGGGAAGCCTTCCAATGGTGAAATCAGTTCAGGGGTTCTTTCACTTTAAAGGGATTTCCTCACTTTGGTTTTTGCTTTTGGGACAGGAAGTGAAGTGGAAGTCTTCCCCCAATGGGACATAGATGGGAAAAGGGAAGTCTTCCCCCAATGGGACATAGATGGGAAAAGGGAAGTCTTCCCCCAATGGGACATAGATGGGAAAAGGGAAGTCTTCCCCCAATGGGACATAGATGGGAAAAGGGAAGTCTTCCCCCAATGGGACATAGATGGGAAAAGGGAAGTCTTCCCCCAATGGGACATAGATGGGAAAAGGGAAGTCTTCCCCCAATGGGACATAGATGGGAAAAGGGAAGTCTTCCCCCAATGGGACATAGATGGGAAAAGGGAAGTCTTCCCCCAATGGGACATAGATGGGAAAAGGGAAGTCTTCCCCCAATGGGACATAGATGGGAAAAGGGAAGTTTTTTTTAAGGTTTATAAGCCAGCATTTCATACTCTTGATATGTGCCTGCTTGTACTGTTGTATGCAAAACTACCTGTTCTTTGCATTGATTCCTGTGGTGTTACTGCCAGTCCCTCTGCTTTATCTACACCTGACCACACTAGGCATAAGAGCAGAGTGGTCAGTTTTCTATCTGTGCTGGAACCTGGCCTGATCTCTTCCAATGATCAGACTTGTGCTGACACACCCCCACGCAGCTTTTCACTGGGAAGATCAGGGTGCTGTTTCTCCGGTCTTAACTCTATTCAGAGGGAATGTGACCACTTTTTTTTCCCCCCACAAATGTTTTACCTTCTATTTCTGTTTTATACTGTGTGGGTGGTTTTGGAAGGTGATGGTTTACATATACTTGCTGGCTGTAAATGGCAGTTTGGCCGGTTCAGCAGAAACTGGCTTAATTTCAGTTCATTTATTGGCAGGCTGGTTGTACAGAAGTTGATCTCTCAATTGTATAAACAGAAAATCCACTTGATCATTGCGGTTAGCTATAGCTGGTGGTCCTGATGAGGGTGGTGTTCTTCCCTTTTTTTTTTTTTTTTTTTTTTTTTCTACTTGATGACCAGCTGGATTGTAGTAATAGTTAAAGAAAAAAAAAAAAGCATCCAAGCTGTAAAAGTTTTTATGTCTAGTGATGAGGGATTAGAACTCCTGTCAGGTTTTATGGCTGGCTTTGTCCTGCTAGCGGTAGGTTTCTGGTGACTATTAGGAGTAAAATTATGTAGGAACAGGTGAGGGAAATATCTTCCAATGGGGACACTTGTTTTGGGGTTGCTGTCTTTTAATAGGTCATTTTACCTCATTTTGGTAAGAAATGCTGCAAAGTCTCTCATGCAGTACGGTCCTTCCATTGGCTGTCTGTGGGATAGACTGTCTGGTGGTTAACTGAAGGAAAGCACATGGTAGGCTGATAATTGCGCAGCGGCTAGATGGTTAGCACTTCCACCTGGCATTAATGGGTCGTTGGTTCAAATCCCAACCACGGCACCACCTGCCTGGAGTTTGCATGTTCTCCCTGTGCCTGCGTGGGTTTCCTCCGGGTACTCCGGTTTCCTCCCACTGCCAAAGACATGCTGGTAGGTTAATTGGCTCCTGTCTAAATTGGCCCTAATATGTGTATATATGACTGTGAGTTAGGGACCTTAGATTGTACACCCCTTGAGGGTTAGGGACTGATGTGAATGTACAATATATATGTAAAGCGCTGCGCAAATTGATGGTGCTATAGAAGTACCTGAAATAAAGCTGCTAATTTTGAGGCGGTGGCTTACCCCCTCGGTCACATCAAGCCCAACTTTGAAATTGTGCGACTTGCAGTGAAGTCGCACGTTTTCAAATTCGGGTGAGATGCCGATTTCAGGTGCGGTTTGCAAGAGGTGTCTATCCAAATCACCAAAAGTAGTGCATGTACTACTTTAGAAATCGGTGCGGGTCCGACCAAGTCAGAACCTCACAGATATGACCGCTATAATTGCAGACAGTAGGGTGAGACTTTGCGTCGTTCTATTTGCAAGTTGCATAGCAGGCAGATCACATGTGACTGGGGTGTTAGTGCTGTCAGCCTGAAACAGGAAGTGCTGTTACCACCAAGGATGTCCGGGTAAGAAACTGTGCTACAAGTGGATAAATGTTGCTGAAAACTGAACTCTGGACAAAATGTTTTATTATGTATTGAAGTGCATCTTACTTTCCTTTTTTTTTTTTTTTTTTTTTTTTTTTTTTACAGGCTTGTGCAAAATGATGCAGCACTACCCTAATGCAAAACCATGTGCAAACTGTTTCCTCTGCTAGTGTAAATCCCTCTGTCCCTTTTTTTTTTTTTTTTTTTTTTTTTTTTTTTTTTTTTTTTTTTTTTTTTTTTTTCCTTCTAACCTCCCTGTATCAGAAGCCTGGCTGGTTTGCTCTCTATCCCCTCAGCTGCTAGTCTTGTAACAGTGGGGACATGTTTATGTCCCTGCAGCATCAGATTTGCTGCTTTGAATTGCCACTGTAAATATGTCATTTGACAGGCTGGGAGACTCCTGATCTGTGCTCTCCTCTATGACCTCACACTGTGTTTCCTGGTCCGTCAGTGGTCCTCCCCTCCCTCCACACACCAGGTCCTTCATGATTTCCCTTTGCTTCATGGGATGTGTAGTGTTCTATTCCTGTGTGGTTTTTGGTGGGTTTTAAGATTACCACTGGGGCTTAAAGTGCTGGTGAAGGCTAACTTTTGCATGATTTCCTGTGGGACAGGTTCACATCTTTGCGTTTTTTTACCCGGTGCATTTTTTGGAAAGGGTCAGGGCCTTTTTTTTTTTTTTTTTTTTTTTTTTTTTTTTAATGTGAAAAGTTGCGTTTTTGATTCTATAGATTTAATTGGAAACGCTGCAGAAAAGCATGTAGTGTTTTTGTTTTATGTGGCAGCACAGTGGCTAAATGGTTAGCACTGCCGCCTGGCAGTACTCGGGTCATTGGTTCGAATCCCAACCACACCACCACCTGCCTGGAGTTTACATGTTCGCCCTGTGCCTGCGTGGGTTTCCCTCCGGGTACTCCGGTTTCCTCCCACACTCCAAAGACATGCTAGGAGGTAAATTGGATCCTGTCTAAATTGGCCCTAATGTGTATGTATGAATGTGAGTTAGGGACCTTAGATTGTACACCCCTTGAGGGTTAGGGACTGATGTGAATGTACAATATATATGTAAAAGCGCTGCGTAAATTGACGGTGCTATATAAGTACCATAAATAAATGTGTTTATAAATCTGCCTAACAACAAGAAAAATGGAAAGAAAAAAAAAAAAACGCGTCAAACACAGGTGCAAAAGTGCAACGCAAGACGTAATGTGTGAACCTAGCTTAAGGGAGTGCTCAACAACTGTGGTGAATAACCAGAGCGGTCATGTCACCCATAGACTCCCATGACCCAGTTGTTGGCGCTCCATCCTCTCCACCTGCAGCTGCCGCTCACTGAGGCTAGGTTTACACCTATTGCCCACTTTCCTGACACAAACATATTGCCCTTCAGTAGTCGTGTCACTGCCATTAATTGTTAGTGGCACCTACACGCATCTAATGCTCACACCAGAACTTGCGGTGTGGTTTTGAAAAGGGGTCAGGGACTTTTCCGCATTTGTGCATGGGGCACAAGATCCTCATTTTTTATCTATCTCCTCCCTCCTCCCTCCTCCTCCTCCCCCCCCCCCTCTCTCTCCCTTTTTACATTTTGTTGGCAGTTTCCAAAGGCTCGGAGAGGGAGCTGGTATTCATTTTTAAGAGAGTGGTATGCAGTGAGGCCTGAAGCCAAACTTGCTGAGAAATAGTTTAAAGTGGTAAAGGCTCAAGGTTTTTAACCTTCATGTATTCTATGCATGAAGGTAAAAAACCTTCTGTGTGCAGCAGCCAATGAGGAGAGGGGGGTGGGGCTGAGCACAGCTCTGTCGCTTATGGATGCACAGAGCAGTTGGTTGGGGACAGGCTCTGTGCAAAATCATTGCACAGAGCAGGTGTGGTGTGTTTTTTTTTTTTTTTGGAAAAAAAACAAACTGTCATTTTAAGGTTTACCTACAGTGGTGTAGGTAATGGCCTGTCGTTGTTCGCCATTTCATTCAACTACCTGTGCCCCTCAAACCTTCCAAATATGTTCTCTTTGGAGATCTGGTCAGCCTCATAATTCTAATATTTTCATTGTTTATGGCTTTCAAGTCATTCTTGATGTTCTTTTGCAGGGCAAGTTGGACGACTACCAGGACAGAATGAACAAAGGAGAGCGACTGAATCAGGACCAACTGGTATATTGATTTTTATTTTATTTTTTTATCCCCTTCCTTGTTCTGTAATTTGCTTATGGCTTCTTCTGATATTGGTGTACTTGAGTGAACTTAGTACAGAGTCTCACCTGTTCCAGGTCCACAGAACGATCCAACTCCAGGTGCTGACTAGGATCTCCTTGATCAAGTCCACATTGGGTGAAATGTGTTTTGAATGGTCGTCCCTGTCGAGGATGCACTATGCCATGTCAAAGTTGAATAAAGCTTTCTGAGACCTGATGATGTCAGTGCGGGGCAGAATTTATTTTTCTGCCTTGATTCGTTGTGCTTAAAGTGGAACTAAAACTGCATTTGATCAGGGTGTGTGTGTGTGGTTTTTTTTTTTTTTTTTTTTTTTTTTTACTCCCCCATCCATCACTTTGAAAAACACACACCCTAGCATTTTCTAGCCATGGCCATCATGAGTACGGGCAGATGGTTCATGTAGTATTTACTCCCTGGAATCCATCTGTACTTAGCAGAGGCATGCAGATAGGAGAATGTGCTTAGCTGAGAGTCCCTCCTGAAGACTCCTGGAATATGACATTTTGCCTAGGCCTGGTAACCAGGAAGCAACCAAAGAAATATTGATTTACAATATAAAGCAAGTAAATGTAATACTTTCCTATGTATTTACTAATTCTGGAAGTATAAGGATTAAAAATGGGCAATGTTGGTTGATTTAGTTGTAAAGGATAGGTTCACCTTTAGTAACTTGTTATACCAGTAGTCGGGGTGTAACATGTTAAAGCGGAGTTCCACCCAAAAGGTGAAGTTCTGCTTTAAAGACTGCTCCCCATTAATGATTGGCACCTTTGGGCAGCGGGTACCCGAAATTGACAGGTACCTGCTCCCAATTTCGCTGCGATTGCTTAGGCCATCGGATGCGGAAGGTGTCCTCCTCCTTCCCTCCCTCTCCGTAGTCTTTTGGGACATGTGACAGGTCCCAGAAGACTACAAGACCATTCAGGAAGCGCAGTGCTACTTGTGCATGCGCAGTGGGCACCCGGCTGTGAAGCCGCAAGCTGTCAGAGCCGGCTGCCCACACTGAAGATGCCGACTCCTGGAACACTGGCCAGCCGGTGAAACGGGCTGCGGGGAGGACACCACAGGATTGTGGGACAGCTGAGTGGCTGTTTTTTTAAAGTCAGCAAGTACAGTTTTTGTAGCTGCTGACTTATTTTTTTACAGTGTGAGTGGAACTCCGCTTTAATGCTGCAGCCCCACACTCCTGATTCCCACTGTGACAGCTGGAGAGGGATTCTCTCCCTGCATCTGCTGTCACAATTTAACATTTAGAACCATCTGTGAATGGTCCCATCTGAACTGGCGGACTACTTGAGTTCTCGGTGAATTGAGTGCTCTGGTGAGCGCCCTTGTAGTTTTTACTTCTTCCTGCTCTTCAGTAACTGTCTACAGACATCTGTACTGGGAGCCTGACATTGCACCTGTGATCTGATGATTGTTTATGCAATCCTCTACAGGCGCTCAAAAAAGAAATGCTTTTTTTTTTTCCTGAACTTTTTTTTTTTTATCCTTTAAGTCTGAATAGGCCAAAATCTGCAGCAAAATGAGCACAGATTTCTCTAACTAATGGACTTGTTTATTCTGATTGCATAATGTATTGTCACAGCTTCCTCTACTTGTTCTATCCAAAAATATCAGGTATCTTCATTTGTTAATGCTTTCTTTTTTGCTTTTAGGATGCGGTGGCAAAATATCAGGAGGTTGTAACAAACATGGAGTTTGCTCGAGAACTGCAGAAAAGTTTCATGGCATTGGGCCAAGATGTAAGATGTGTTTTTATACCTGCTTTGATTTATCCAGTATCCTCTTGGTAATTTAAGATATTTTTCCTGAAATGGAGAGTACGACCTGTGCTGCAGTCTGCTCACTATACTTGTCCAATCTTTCTCTCTGCATGTGAGTCGGTGGGAGAGATGAAAGTTTAGTAGCATCTTCTGCTATCCGTATGAGGGAGTAAACCACAGGAAATCTCAAACCGTAAATGCTCGCTTTAGGGTGACCACGTTTTTATTGCATTAGGAGGGGTTAGAGGTAGATTACAAGACACTAGCCACTTGTGACGTTTACAAGCCTAGAGAGTTAAAGTTCCTTTTTAGTGATTTATTGCCCTTACACAATGTAAGAAAATTATTATGATTATCTGTTCGTTAGTTTAGAAAGGAAACAGAACAGGGTGCCAGATTAGTGTGTGGTTAAAAACAACACTTTTATTCCATTTGTCACCTAAATCTGAAAGACCTGTAGATTGCGCCGGGTGTCAGAGTGGTGGTGCGATGTACAGCTCACAGCAGTCTGGATGGACTGATAGGGCTGCAGGGCACAAGCAAGGACCTGCTGCAAGATGATAGGTCGACGGTGTCTCTCTTCTCATTCACGGCACTAGCCGGAAGGCTTACAGGGGCATGTTGCAGGGGGGAGGGGGGGTTGCAACGCGTTTCTGAGACTCCCTTACTTTTTTTTTTTTTTTTTTTTTTTAAGCTGTTTGTTTAGTGCTTTCAACAGCCAATTCCAGCTGTTTGGACGAAAAAAAATGAAGGCGCAAGCTAGGAAATTTTTATCGAACTTGAGCACGTTGTCAGATTTTTGCTCTGTGTACAGTAATCATACAGAAATATTCGTATAGGATAAAATGCATGATCCGAAGCAAAGAAAAACCTGGAAGAAGGTGGCATTGAGCATAGAAATTGTACAAAAGAGAAGGTTTGCCTATGTAGGATGAGAATTTTCGTACAAGTTAACACCATTGTCGGTTACATCCCGATGCGCAACTTTGTGGAAAATCGGACGATCATTTGTTTGATTTTCTCATAGCGTACAGTAAGCTTTAGAGTCTCTGATCTATTGACCTCCGACTGGTGGTGGTGGTGCTCCCAGGCCAGGAGGATGGATCCAGATGGCTGTACTGTTACTGTAATTTTAGTAATGTAGGAAAATCTGTTGCCCACACAATGCCTAGAATGGAGTTGGTGGTTGTGTAGCAAAATAAAATCTTTGTGTCCTTTTTTGATTATTAATTAAGCCTTACCTCTCCAAACTTTCTAAATAAAAGGCTAGTTCACTGTCTTTTTTTAGACTTTAGGGGAGCCAGCTGTGCCCCAGCATCAGTTGGGGGGGAGGGGGGTAAATGATGCTTCAGGCTTGGTGGCTGGTGGGAGTAAAAGAAGAAAAAAAAATGCATAAGGCCTGTGATCAGTAGAAGAATAATAGTGCCCCATTGCTGGAACCTGTGGTAGAAATGCCAGTCGTTGGTATCGGTGGAAGGAATAGTGCCCAATCATTGCTGTCAGTGGGAGGAGTAGTGCCCCGGGGGCAAAAGAGACAAGCAAAAGGACAGTTTGGAGGCCACTGCTCAAAAAATATCCACATTTAGGATCTTCATGGCAATGCTCTGTAGGTTCATAGAGCCTACACAGCATTGTGATCAGTGCACATGCTCTCCCAGTAAGATGGCTGTGTCTCTTACTTTCTAGACGCAGCTTACTTTTTTAGGTCATGTGTCTGCATTGCTTCTGTACAGCTCAGCAGTACCCAGGTCAGGAGCTGGGCAAAGCCACGGCTTGCCATATAGCCTGTTGTTGCATTGTTTCAGCTATTACATTCCCACTTCTTTTTTTTTTTTTTTTTTTTTTTTATATTAATATAAATTATATATATATATATATATATTATGATTTATAAATGCTTAATAATTATGATTTGAAATGTGAACTCCTAAGAGAGCAGCTCATGCGTGAAGAGGCCGAACAGAAACGTTTAAAAACAGCGCTAGAGTTGCAGTTTGTCTTAGATAAAATTGGTGATGAAGAAGTACGCCATGACTTGAAACAAGGCCTTAATGGGGTTCCTCTGGTGTCGGAAGAAGAACTAACTTTAATGGATGATTTTTATAAGCTCCTGGATCCTGCACGAGATCCATCTGTAAGGTATATGGTGTGTCTTTTACTATAAAACTGGGGAGGGTAGTCATTTTATATCGGTCTTAAAGCCGGCATACACGGTTTAGGAAAATGTATGGCTAAATCTTAGAAAACTGCTGCATTGCTGGCGGGGTTCATCTAACTGCATTCACAGGCAAGAGCATTGGCAAGGTCAGGCACTGAATAAACAGGAATGTATCTAGCAGATTTTTGTGTCTGTGTGTTTGTGTTAATATTTAAGTCTCACACTTCTACTGTTTACATTGTTTGCCATGGAGAATCCTTTTATCATTTGTCATGGAGAATCCTTTTATCATTTGCTTGTCTCCAAAGTCACACGATGGTGAGTGACTTTGATGCGACTCTTGGTGTAATCCAACTTTCCATTCTCTGGACCAAAGTAGTGCAGGCACCTTTTCAAAATCACTGCAACTTTAGGTTGTGCAATGAGCCATTGAAAAGAACGGGCTGCTGCTTATGTGACTTTGCTGTCCATTGTTGCATGACAAGTCACAAAAGTGTGAGTGGAGCCCTTTGGTATTGGCTGCCATGCAATGTCTCTTCTGTGGCATGCGAACTGAGCTCCTTGTGTGCAGCTGAGTTTACATTGCCGGCACAGTCCATGGCAGGAAGATGAACTCTGCACATACAAAGGGGTCATGTCATCCTGCACTGGCCAATCAGGATGGCCGAAAGTGGGCAGGGTGCTGGTAGGTGCCAGTGAAGGACCCCTTGGATTTTGGACCATTAGAATGGAAGTGAGTAAATGTGCCTTTTAAAGTGTTACTAAACCCAGGACCCTGCATTCACTATATTTGGTCTCCCACAGTAAGCAGGAGAACATGGAAATGCAATTTTATGTTAGTAAATATAAACTGCTAAATCTTTTCTCATCAGCAGTTAGAGCAGTCTTGTGACTTCTATCAGTGTCCACCTGAGCACATGCTAAAGCTTATAGGAGTTTTCATTTTGCTTGAGGATGCAGGACCCCTGGCCTTTTGTCTGGACAGTGCTGATTGGCTCTGTACTGATCACATGCACTCTTGCAAGGAAAAAAAAAACCTATCTAGCAATGTACACCAAACTGAGCATGTGCAGAGTGTCTCCACACGGTATGTCTTATCAGGAGATGAGGGGGGCATTGGAAGGAGAGGATCAGAGAAGTCAGGATCAAACATCGTTTTTACACAATGCAGAGGGATTAACCTCTTAGGTTCCACAGTGAGTATAACCAGCATGCTTTACTGCATTTACAGACTGATTTTACTGTTGGGTTTAGTAACACTTTTTAATTCCACTTTAACATGGTCATTGACAAGTTGACTCAGTCAGCAGTGTGACAAGTCAAATTTGAACAATCCAATGTTCATTATTCTTGCAGGTTGAGTGATCAATATGAACAGGCCTCCATGCACCTCTGGGATGTCTTGGATGGAAAAGACAAGCAAGTGTGCGGAACCACATGTAAGCCTTTTGCAAATAATTTGAGCTTTTTGCTATGAGTCTAGTTTTTACTTCCAACTAAAATGATCCATGTCGCTGAGCTGGCCTCGTGCGTTCGCCTCGCTGCAGCTTTCATCATGAAAGTGCTATCCATAGAATAGTTATGTGCCAGCTGTCTGCATTTGGGCAGCTCTGCCTTTTCTGGCACCTCCTTAGTCAGCAGTGACCTGGGATCTATGCCAGCCTCTGCTCCCTCAGCAGTATTGTTGCTGATGCACACAGTGTGTCCCCTCTTTCTAGAAATCAGATGGAAAAGTAAACCTGCATTGTTACAAATGTTACAACACAACAAAATTACTTTTTCATTTATTTATTTTTTGATCTCTAAATGCATCTCCCTAGAATTGTCAACTCATTTAGGCTTGGTGTATGCAAAGGTTTATTTTTTGGACCGAAGAGCAAAAAACCTGCCAGGGTTTTAAGTTTAGTTTTTGCCTGTCAGTCTCCTGCTGTGATTTTCATTCACTTACAGTCTCTGGAAGGAACTGGAAGTAAGGCAATCTGCTTAGTGAGAGTAAATTCCATTGAGTTGTCTTGCTTATTTTGATATAGCCAAACTTTAGGCAGATATCAGAAAAACAAATCGTAGCCACTTTTTTTTTTTTTTTTTTTATAGCACCCGACTGTTACTTGGTATCAACATTTTCACAGGCAGTCCCCTGTACAACTTGAGGCTAGGAATGAGAGGGGTTATTGGGTTATTAAAACATTTCATGCTCAATACTTCTGTGCTTGATATAGGATGCCTTCTAATGTTAACCGCTCCCGAGCGCCCTATAGCAGATAGTTTTTACTGGGTCACATGGGTGCACAAACTCGTATGTATGATTTTGCATTCCTGGGTAGGGGGCAGGCACCCACCCCACCCGTGCCACCATTCACGGCCGTCAATCACCGGGTCCCAGCCAGTGATTACTCTTCGGTGATTGTCTAGCATCTCTGATGGGGAGGAGAACTGTATGTAAACAATCCAATTCTCCCTGCCGGCTCATGCACACTGCTTTGGATGGCTGTGCACAGCCATGCAAAGCTGTGTGATTTACGGTGTAAAGCATGCGCACCCCATAAAACAGCGCACAGTTAACCCTTTGATCGCCCCTCATGTTGACCCCTTCCTGCCCAATGCCCTTTTTTATTGACCCCTTCTTGCCCAGTGCCCTTTTTTTGTTGACCCCTTCCTGCCCAGTGCCATTTTTGAATTTTTTTTTTTAAATTTGTTTTTGCATTGATCACTGTATTGGTGTCACTGGAGATGTCAGTGACACCAAGTCAGTTCCCCCGGTGTCAGAATGCCCGCCACAGTCCTGCTACAAGTCGCTGATTGCCTCCATTACTATTAAAAATGAACAAAAAAGCCGTGTGTGTGTGTGTGTGTGTGTAAAATGTGATATATATAATGTGTGTGTGTGTGTGTGTGTGTGTGTATATATATATATATATATATATATATATATATATATATATATATATATATATATATATATATATCTCTCTCTATCATTTTTTGTAAACGGTATAACTTTCATGTAAACCAATTTAATTTACAAGACATGTAGCAGAATACATTTTGGCCTAAATTTTATGATGAAACTATTTGTTTAAAATTTGTTTATTGGATATGTTTTATAGCAAAGAGTCAGAAATATTTTTTTTTTCCCGAAAATCGTGTTTTTTTTTTTTTTTTTTTTTTGATTTTGGTTGTTTATAGCTCAAAAAAACATGACAACATTTTCTCAGTTGTCGGCCTCTTATAGCGCACAGGGGATCAAATGCCACCAAAAGAGAGCTCAATTCGTGGAGGGGGGAAAGGGATGGAAATTTCATTTTGGTGCAGTGTTGCATGACCGTGCAATTGTCAGTTAAAGTAACGCAGCGCCGTAACACAAACAATGTCCTAGTCAGGAAGGTGGGGGGGGGGGGGGGGGGTAAATCATCAGTAGGGCAAGTGGTTAAAGTATATGTGAACCTGTCAACTAAAATGCATAGTAATACAGTAATCAGAATTTGTTCTACAATGGCTTTTTTTTTTTTTTTTTTTTTTCTTCAAATGACTGTTTGAACAATATAGTTTTGCAGTAATATAACTACAGTTTTCATTATGACATTTTAAGGTAATTTATAAAGCTTTAGGAGAAGTATCTTTAACCATGTGACTGTAATCTTTGGCTCTCATTGAAAACTGTCTCCCTGCACTGTGACTGTTCTAGTACTCTATGCCCTTGGCAGTTTCAATACTTGTAGTAACTATGATGGTGGGCGTTTTATCAAAAAATCCTAGATAGGTTAAAAAGAACAACTCATTGTGTACATCACCCTGTACTAGCCAAGTAAGGAAACCGTGTGCTGGAGGTTAGTGCGCCTTAAACTGTGTTCTATTTATTTTGGTTGTAGATAAAGCTTTGCGGGAAATGGTGGATCGCATCCTCCAGAGTGGGTTTTTTGACAATACGAAGAATCACCAAAATGGACTGTGTGAGGAGGAGGAACCCCTCGCAGTGCCGCCGGCAGAAGAACAAGCACCTGAGCTTGGTAATTGTGTTGATGCCTTTCCATAAGTTCCATCCTTTGCTGCTGAGTCCCACTTTTTTTTTTTTCTGTAGGGGTGAGCTATCATTTCTAAAAAGCCATGTGCACACCTCACTGGCTGGCACGATAAACGGATTACATTCTCGGCTTGTCCATTGCATTCTGTCTCCTTGATAGAGGGTCTTTCTCCCCCCGTCGTCATCGTTCCCTCCCCCCCCCTTCCAAATCTAGCGATTGTTTTATTTGGCAATGGGGGAGATATTGGTACAATATCGGAGGATATCCTCAGTCACACTATATGCCATCTGATATATGTACAATGTTAAATTGGAACGCTGATATACACAGCACATCTTAAGTTATGCAATCAAATAATGGACATACTGCTCAAATACAACCATAACCAATCAGGTCAGTGTACATCTAAGGTTTACACCCCAAGGGGCACGCCTAAACGAATAGCCTGTCTATAACCAGATCGTGTGGCCTCAAGCCTGGGATATACAGCCATGAGCCCCAAAGATTTTTTGGTACCAAAGAAATTTTATTTAATCACAAGATTTAAGTGGTACCAAAAGAAACCAAAGAAAATTTTATTTAATCAACAGATTATACAGGTTATAGAAACATAAGTGGTACATAATAGAGCAGCCTTTCAAAAAGGGAACCATGCACAGTTACATAAGAACAAATATGACCCGTGCAGGGGCCTAAGCAGCAGAAAAAGCTTGATGTGTGGTCATGTAGAGTAAAGGCAACCTGGAGATACGTCCTGCACATAGCCAGAAGTATGGCAAAACCTGATGGTCAACAGATCATAAGCGAAATCTCCTGCGCTCAAGGACCCAGGCGGGTGACGAATAGATAGAACCAGACCTGGAAAGATGGACCACCAATGCATGTAGAGTTGTGCAGCTGCAAATAAGGCTGGGGAAGCCCGAACAATACTGCAAATCGAAACAAAAACGAGAAGCGCACCAACCTTGCTCATTACCTCAGTAACCAGTTTATTAATTATAAAATACAGCGAATAAAATCATAGCTCTGATGAAGAAGGGATGCCCTTCGAAACGCGTCAGCTGTACTGAGTATCTACCCCCATGATGGGATCCGTGCTGGCTCTTTATCTTTCAGGTCCCTTTGAGGACTTACATGCCTGATTTTATTCGCTGTTTGTATTATTTTTTAAATAAGTAACTTTGGTTACTGAGGTAATGCGCAAGGTTGGTGCGCTTCTCGTTTTTGTTTTGATTTGCAAAACCTGATAGTCCACAATAAATAATGACTATAGAGTCATAGAAAGTAAGTGTCGATGTCTCCCATCAATGACTCACCCCACAGGAAGGAGAGAAAAAAAGATAAAGGGGGGAGGAAAAAAAAGAGAGGGGTGAGGATCAATTTTGTAAGCCTTGTAAAAAAAAAAATTGAGGGAGGGGGAATCTTGACGAGCAATGACATCAAGCAAGGGCTTCAATAATTAAATCCGTCAAAAAAAAAAAAAAGAGTAGAAGTGAGTAAAGAAAAGCAAGCAAAAAGCAAAGGGGAATGGAAAAAAATAGATCCCACTAGCTTGGAAAGGAACCTAAAAAAAAAAAAAAAAAGAAATGAAGTGGGGAAAAGAAAAAATACAGGTTAGAAAGAGTTCACCCATGAGGAGTGCAGGAGCACGTAGCCCCCACAAAGGGAAACCAGGGGAGCATTACTCTGAATGTTAGAGATTGGTCAATCTCGTGGTGAAGCGAGAGACAAGATGATAGTCCACCCAGGACTACCAGACAGAAACCTGTAATGGTTATCCTCCAACATCATCGTTTAGTTTGTGTTGACAAAGAAGACCTGACTTCCTCAAATTGAAGAGTAGGGGATTTCCAGTAATGTGCAATGGTTTAATAGCCATTGGGGAAAAAAAAAAAAACTAATTGGTCAACGAATTTTACGAGGTACATCACGGAGGGGCATTAAAAAAGCAATGCTTCAGTAGGGTCTTTCCTGAGATTGATGTGTGACGGCATAAGTAAGGTTATAGATTCTGGTCCATAGACTATCAGCTACCGGACAGGACCACCATATGTGGAGCATCGAGCCATCCATATTACAACCGCTGAAACAACGTGGGTCCATATCCTGATACATATTTAGCTGTGAGCCGGTGTAAAGTACCATCTGGATAAGACCTTATAGAGCCCCAAAGATTTTCATATATGCGGGGCAATCTTTGTTCTGATGAATGTGTTTTCTCCAACCTGAGAGTTTCACCCATGTGTTGTACCCATTTGTTGTGGGAAGGAGGCTCAGAGGATTTCCAATGTCATAGTACAACTCTCCGGGTTTAAACAACTGCTCTAGCAAATTCATCTCTAGTGAGAGCCGGTAATTGAAAATCAACAGGAATGCCCAAAGGACGTGGTTTAGGGTCAATTGGGACAGAAATTTGAAACACCGCATTTAGTATGTTCATTACCCCTGCCCAGTAGATATGTAATTTGGGACATGGCCAAATTAAATGGACCAAGCCCCATGGTGCCTGGAACACCTACTGCAAGTGGGAGTAACCGAAATACCCGTTCTCGATAACCTGGTTGGGGTAAAGTGAGCTTTGAAGATTGTATACAATTGTATAAGTCTTTGTGCCACATTGGGGCACTGCTTGAAGAGTTTCCTCCCACTGATCCTCCACAAAAGGACGAAGGTCCACCTCCCATCTCCCTCCCACCGTTAAGGGAAAAGTCATAAATTCCCCCTGTAACATGGCATAACAGGAGATAACTTCCCTAGTGGAGGTTGTATTATCCATCATATTAAAGTGTGTTCACCTTTATCAGTAACCTATCTGTGGATCATAGCAAACTGTCTGACTAAAGATGAATAATGCCCTTGCTATAGGTGTAGGCCATTTATAGTGGGGCAAAAAAGTATTTAGTCAGCCACCAATTGTGCAAGTTCTCCCACTTAAAAAGATGAGAGGCCTGTAATTGGCATCATAGGTAGACCTCAACTATGAGAGACAAAATGAGAAAAACAAATCCAGACAATCACATTGGCTGATTTGGAAAGAATTTATTTGCAAATTAAGGTGGAAAATAAGTATTTGGTCACCTACAAACAAGCAAGATTTCTGGCTCTCACAGACCTGTACCTTCTTCTTTAAGAGGCTCCTCTGTTCTGCACTCATTACCTGTATCAATGGCACCTGTTTGAACTTGTTATCAGTATAAAAGACACCTGTCCACAACCTCAAACAGTCACACTCCAAACTCCACTATGGTGAAGACAAAAAGCTGTGTAAGGACACCAGAAACAAAATTGTAGACCTGCACCAGGCTGGGAAGACTGAATCTGCAATAGGCAAGCAGCTTTGTGTGAACAAATCAACTGTGGGAGCAATAATTAGAAAATGGAAGACATACAAGACCACTGATAATCTCCCTCGATCTGGGCTCCACGCAAGATCTCACCCCGTGGGGTCAAAATGATCACAAGAACTGAGCAAAAATCCCAGGACCACATGGGAGGACCTAGTGAATGACCTGCAGAGAGCTGGGACCAACGTAACAAAGGCTACCATCAGTAACACACTACGCCGCCAGGTACTCAGATCCTGCAGTGCCAGACGTGTCCCCCTGCGTAAGCCAGTACATGTCCGGGCCCATCTGAAGTTTGCTAGAGAGCATTTGGATGATCCAGAAGAGGATTGGGAGAATGTCATATGGTTAGACGAAACCAAAATACAACTGTTTGGTAGAAACAAAACTCGTCATGTTTGGAGAAAAGAGAATGCTGAGTTGCATCCAAAGGACACCATACCTACTGTGAAGCATGGGGGTGGCAACATCATGCTTTGGGGCTGTTTCTCCACAAAGGGACCAGGACGAGTGATCCATGTACAGGACAGAATGAATGGGGCCATGTATCGTGAGATTTTGAGTGCAAATCTCCCATCAGCAAGGGCATTGAAGATGAAACGTGGCTGGGTCTTCCAACATGACAATGATCCCAAACATACCGCCCGGACAACGAAGGAGTGGCTTCGTAAGAAGCATTTCAAGGTCCTGGAGTAGCCTAGCCAGTCTCCAGAGCTCAACCCCATAGAAAACCTTTGGAGGGAGTTGAAAGTCCGTGTTGCCCAGCGACAGCCCCAAAACATCACTGCTGTAGAGGAGATCTGCATGGAGGAATGGGCCAACATACCAGCAACAGTGTGTACCAACCTTGTGAAGACTTACAGGAAACGTTCGACCTCTGTCATTGCCAACAAAGGATATATAACAAAGTATTCAGATGAACTTTTGATATTGACCAAATACTTATTTTCCACCATAATTTGCAAAGAAATTCTTTCCAAATCAGCCAATGTGATTGTCTGGATTTGTTTTCTCATTTTGTCTCTCATAGTTGAGGTCTAACTATGATGCCAATTACAGGCCTCTCTCATCTTTTTAAGTGGGAGAACTTGCACAATTGGTGGCTGACTAAATACTTTTTTGCACCACTGTATGTACCTCATGAAGCCTGATTGGAATACTCCCAGGATGTTGCCAAGTGAGGCCTAGTCGTTACTGCTCACTTCCATCGCAGGAGTGAGCTTTATTTCTTTTGAATCAAAGTCCCTCACATGCTCTTTTCCCTGACGCAGTAGCTCTGAACTTGGCATCTGAGAGCTCACTCTTGTGATGGTGGAGATGAGCAGTAATGACGAGGCCTCACCTAGCAATGCCCTGGCAGTTTTTCAGTCAGGGATGTAAACTGCCTACACCTATAGCAAGGGCATTAATTGACTTTAGACAGAAACACACAGTTTTTATCCACAGACGCCCCTTATCTGCATAGGCAGCTTTTTGGTAAAGGTGAACTATTCCTTTAAACAATGGAGTTGGGGATTCATGTGGGTCTCTGTGCAGGCGTGGGTTTTATTTTTAAAAAAAGTGTTCTTTTCGGCAGGTTTTTTCAGTCTGTGCTAGAGGCCAATGCTTACTAAGCCTGCTGTCTTACATTGACCCTAGACTGCTTGAATTTCAGTCGATTACTGCTGCATTGGCTGAAATTCGAGCCGTGGGTGGACCTGCAAGCACCCAGCTCATGTTTTAAAAACTACTGAACCGGGCGGAAAACTATCGACCAACAGTGACCGCCTTTTGTCATTAGTAATTTGCTGTTTGGTAGAGCCATAGTATTAGCGCAGTGGCTGGTGCCGTGGCTGCACAGTACAAGAGCTGGCAGTGGTCATTCTCCATCCACACAGTTTACAGTGAATGTAGAGGTAGATATTTTTTTTTTTCCTCCATACTGCTAAAACACACTTTTTTTTTTTTTATAGTAGAAGTCATGGGTAAGGATATGCATGGTCTAGAAGGCACCCTAGAAGTGCAGGATTGCCACCCTGATGTCTGAGTCGGTGGTTGTATGTACCCTGATACAGATTATCTGCCTGTATTTGAAGCGTAGCAAGTGGCAGTCTCTTTACCTCTTGCTGCCAGCTCCTGTCATCCCTTTAAGGAGTTCTTTAACACAGGGGTTGGCATGCTCCCAGTCATGTGAATGGGGCCCATCCTGCTGACTCCAGATTGTAAATGGTGAGTGAGCACGGTCAGTGCAGCGTCGTCAAAGTGCCAGGGGTGCAGATGGTGTACTGCCAGCACAAGACATATGTTGGATACTTCTGGTTCCTTCCACCGACTATTACTTCACTGGGGTGTTCTTTAACCGTCTCCTGCCCTCCATATAAGGAAATGACGAGAGGGGGCGGTGGTTATCTTGTCCTGGGAGGACGTCATATGGCGTCCTCCCACTCTAGCTGTGCATGCCCCCTGGGGGCGCGTGGCGATTAGTGGAGCCCTGTGTCAGTAAATAGCTGATGTAGGCTCTCATGTGATCAGCTGTGTCCAATCACAGCTGATTGCATGTAAATAGGAAATGCCAGTTATCGGCAGTCCTCTCATGCTGACAGCGTGAGAGAGGAGAGCCGGTAAGCGGCATTCCTCAGAGGGAACATGTACACTGATTATTAGTGTAGCCCCATAATTGCCACCTATCAGAGCTGCCGTCAGTGCTGCCCATCAATGGTGATTAAATACCGCCAAAAGAAAGCGGTCTCAAAAAAAAAAAAAAGATAAAAATTGTTAAGTTACAGTGTTGCATGACCACACAATTGTCAAAGTGCAACAGCGCTGAAAATTGGCCTGGCCAGGAAGGGGGTAAAATTGTCTGGTAGGCAAGTGGTTAATAACATGGGGGTTGACAGGCAAAACCATTGCACTTAGTGGGGGGACACTGTATCCCACTTGACAGTGTCAGATCCCAATGCTACCTGGAGCTTTACAAGGAAACAAACTTTTCAGTTGAAGCCTGATGGACTGGTAAAGTATTCTACAGAGGGCAGCTGCTGGACTTTTTGTATAATAAATGGGGCTGCTTTTAACCCTTTGAGGACCGTAAGATTTTGGAACGCCAAAAGAATCAATTTTTTTGTTTTTAAAGTTCGTACACTTCAGTTGCTGTAACTAAGCCATTTCATGAAATTATTGGCAAAAAGCTAGATCCATTTGTTTAGAACTAAAATTGACTCAAACAAAAAAAAAAAGTTTTAAGTTCTTAATCAGATTATACACGCAATTAAAAACATGGGACAAATACGTCCCTCGGTCCTCAAAGGGTTAAAGGAACTAATGGATGGTGAGTTTTGTCAAATCTTAGAAAATCTTGACAAGGATGTGGGGTGTGGATCTTTGTCATGTAACTAGAACATGAAGAACTAGAAATTCTAATATCTGATGATAAGCTAGTTTAAAACTGAACATGTTACATGTATGCAGACTACTTTTGGCTAGTTATGTAATTGTATGCCTGTTACATTTCTAGAACCTGAAGCTGTGGAAGAATATACTGAGCCCAGTGAAGTGGAGTCCACCGAGGTAAGGCTTTCAGCAAAGCTCAGGATCTGGGTTTTTGGAGTGGGCTACTTCTACTTATGTAGATAGAACTTTACACTGCATCCGATGTAATCAGATCTCCGAGATTAATGCTTTGTGTAGTCACTTACCTGGAAAGGATTGTCTATTTGGCAATCATTGATCTTTAAAACTGGCGGCATCATGCATTAACATCTGGTCTATGAAGTATAGATTTCTGAAATGTATTTGCTGGTCTGCATGCCTTTCCTGGGACATTTGTATTTTGCTTTGTAATGCAAGTTTTGTGATCAGCTAAGCTGGCCATGTAACAGACTTGGTAGATCGTGGGAAATGCTGTTGGACTGAGGCTGTTTAAGTTCCTCCATTCATAAATGTCAGCAACATGTTGGCAAAGCCAAAATTTAAATCTGGGTGTTACTGCCACTGTGCAGCATGTTCTAGCAGAGCAGGTCTGAACAAGGGATGGAGTTCTGCTTCTGTAATGAAATGGAGTCTCTACTTCTCTGCTACATACAAGCTGTGCAGCCATTCAGAATGAGGGGTAGCAACCCACACCTCTAGTAACATTTTATTGTGCTACATATTAGAACAGTTCTTTTTATGGTTATTTTATTATAACCTTAGCCAAGGAATAAACTAAATAAAATATTCAGGCTTCTTGACAAGGATATGCAACTACATTCTACAGTAAAAAGGCTAATGTAAGTGAATTGAAAATTGTTATGGCGTCTAATGTGTCAAAAAATAATTACAAATTGTGTAAGATATGCAGCTGCCCTAAATAGGTGGATGACCACACTGCAAAACCAAGATTTATAAATAGACAGGCGCTACATAAATGTGCGTAAACATAAGAGGCTTGTTTCACAACGTGCCACTGATCCAAATTGTTATATTTAGTATATTGCACCTATAGTGGGTGCTACATTTCCCGCTAACTTTACAAAGAACACTAAAAAAAAAAAACAAAAAAAACCCACAATAAAAATCCAAGACTGAGTTTAGGTTTTGAAAGAAGTGACAGTCCTCTCTAATCCTCTATGCTGTTACCCAAGTAAGTGGGTGATTTAATAGCTTCACCATGTGTTGGCTGGATAGATATAGATAGATATAATCTCTAGATGAATTGGAGAGTTTGCTGAAAATCCCATTGCCTTAGCTTTTGGCCTTCTCACTGGAGAGCTGCTGGAGGGGAGCAGCACTCTAGGAAAGCCTGAGGGGATGGTTCCCTATATGACCAAAACTCATCTGACCACCTTAATTGGGGTCAAAAGGTCTGGTGAGTGAGCAATTTATATGTACCTTGCCTGCACATGGTGCAGATATTAAATCACTCACTTATTTGAGTCACAGCATAGAGGATTAGAAAGGACCAGGGGTGGACTGACCATTTGAAACTCTGGCACTGCCAGAGGGCCCGGGGTCAGTAGGGGGCCCCATGAGGTGCCCCTGGTACCTTTTTTTTTCCATAGGCTTTTTTGAGTTTGGGCAAGGACACAGCGGCCCCATGATCCCCTATTGCCCGGGGGCCCCATGAGTTGTCCGTCTGCCCCTGGAAAGGACTGTCACTTCTTTCAAAACTTAAACTCACTCTTGGACTTTTTATTGTTTTTTTGTATTGTGTTTTTTTTTTTTTTTTTTTTTTTTTTTTGTGTCTTCTTTTTGTTTGTATCTTCTTTTTTGTTTTTCTTTTTTTGTCTTTTTGTTTTTTTGTAAAGTTAGTGGGAAATGTAGCACCCACTGTAGGTGCAATGTAATGGTTTGGTTTAGGGGCATGTTGTGAAACAAGCCTCTTGTATGTTTATGCACATTGATGTAGCGCCTGTCTATTTATAAAAGTAAAAAAGGCTAAGGCTAGGTTCATACTGTTGCATGTAAATCTCGCCTATTCCTGCAGCCAAGACACATTGCTCTTTTTGCAGATGTGCGGGGCTGCAATTCATTCTTAATGGCACCCTTACACATCTGAAAATGCAGCACGTTTTCTGGTGTGCGCGAAACCGCATGGTTCAAAAGCACCATGACATTTTCGTGCAAAATGCATTCATGTGAATGGTCTACTCTGCCCATGCAAACACAAGCCACAGCAAACCTGTAGGTGTGAACCTAGTGTAAGTGTTTGGAGACAGTCTGTGTAGAGCTTCAGAATGTTTCTTCTGCTCTGGTACGGCATAGCAGATTTCTTTTCTCTAGGATGACAATTAATGGTCATATCATTTTGCAGTTTGTAAACAGACAGTTTATGGCAGAGAGCCAGTTCAGCAGCGGAGAAAAGGAGCAAGTGCAAGAATGGGCCGTAGAAACTGTTGAAGTAAGTTTGTGGATGTGTGTGTGTCTCTCTCTCTCTCTCTCTCCTCTCTCCCCTCTCTCTCTCTCTCTCTCTCTCTCTCTCTCTCTCTCTCTCTCTCTCTCTCTCTCTCTCTCTCTCTCTCTCTCTCTCTCTCTCTCTCTCTCTCTCTCTCTCTCTCTCTCTCTCTCTCTCCTCCCCCCCCCCCCCCCCTTTTGACTTTATATATCCATAGCCATTTCTCGCCTAAAGCGGTACTATGGGCAAAATCATGGATGATTTTCGATCATTTACCGAATGTTCAAACCTTTAATTCCCCAAGGAACTAAGTGATCGGAGTTGACATTAACTCTGACAAGGGTGCTTACAATGGTCAGCTTTTATTCGTATAGTCAACTTTTATCTCAAGAGATACTGATAGGTTTTGGGTGTTGGAGTTGGACTTCATTTTGTTAGTCATTTGTAATTCCATCCAATTCTATTAGTACATCTTAAACTACACTCAGTAGGCTGACAATGCTGCTGTCCAAGGCTGGGGCTATCTGCTCTTCCATAGATACAGTGGGGGGAGTGAGTGTAGCCACTTTATAGGGCAAGAAGTGTTAACTGGCAGGATCAGCAGATAAAAATAAAGGTGGTTGGGGGATGGGGGTTAAAGAAAAGTAATGCAGCCACCACATCTAAGAATTGGTAAGCTGCAATGTGTTTTTATATATATTTTCTTTTTCTTTTTTTTTGGGGGGGGGGGGGGGGGTCAGGTATACTTTTAATGTTAACCACTTGCCCTCCAGAGGATTTACCCCCCCAATTTCATGACCAGGCCATTGTTTGCAATATGGCGCTGCATTACTTTAACTGACAGTTGCGCGGTCATGCAATGCTGCACTGGGAGGGAACTGACTTGGTGCCAATGACATCCCATGTGACACCAGTACAATGATCAGTGCTAATTAAAAGCACTGACATTCTACTATTTGCACTGGGCAGGACGGGGTTAACGTGTGGCAATCAAAGGGTTAACTGTGCTGTTTCACAGTAAGCGGTGTGTTTTCTCAACTGTAAGCACACTGGTTTTGTATGGCTCTGTTATGCAGAGCCATACAAAGCAGTGTGCATGAGCTGATAGGGGAGGGAATTGTATTGTTTACATACACTTTTCTCCCCCGTCCGTAATACTCGGCAATCACCGGCTGGGACTCGGTGATTGACAGCGGCGGTGTGAGTAGGGCGCGCGCCCCCCCACCCTGAACTAAAAAATCACGCGTGTGTGTGTGTATGTGACTTTTTTGCGCACCTGTGCCGCCCTGTAGCAGTATTCCTGCTATAGGGTGGACGAGAGGCAGTTAAAACTGGACTTTCACAACACTGCAACACATTGGTAAAAAACATGCCCTTGATAGTGGTGGGCTTGTGCTGTTTTGAATAAATCAGAAAAACACGAGCATTACATCCACCAGGAAAGTATCCTAAAAGATTGTATGACAGAATAAAGGGATGTGTGTCTTAAATTGCTTGGTACTGGGTATAACTTTCAGGTTAGTTTGATCATTTTAAATCTCAGCTCAGGTATATATTGCTCGTTGGGGACTCCACTTGTTGTATCCTATGCTTTGTGTTTAGTACCCACCCAAGGCTTTTAGCCTAGTCCTGTGATGCTACAGGGTTTTCCTCCTTTGCTCTTCTCCTGGCTGGGCCTCTTCACTGATGCAGAGCACTGTGCCGACTTCACTGCTGCTTTCTGCATTGATACTGTGAATAATGGCTGCTGTGGGGAAGATTCCTTGTACTCTTGTGTACTCCTTCCGGAGAAGAGATACTGCAGTGGACAGTTCAGCAGAAGGGTAGTATATCCAGAGGGGTCTTTAAGTAATACAAATTTTAGCATAGAGATGGGCTTAAAGGGTAATACTACTCATAGGCAACCAATAACAACCCCTTTCCTCACCCCCACCCTTTATCTAAATACAAGTGGTTACTATTTTATTTTTTTTTATTTCTCCCCTCTAAGGTCGTAAACTCACTCCAGCAGCAGCAACCAACATCCCCAACTGTCCCCGAGCCCCTATCCCTAAATGCCATTTCCCAAGTCCAGCCTGATCCCATTGTACGAAGGCAGAGGGTTCAGGACCTGATGGCCCAGATGCAAGGTCCATATAATTTCATGCAGGTTTGTATGAAGGTGTAATATTTTTTTGTGCTATTTAAGTATACCGACTTATGATCTTCTCAGTCATATCATGGCACTTGCTTTTGCAGGACTCTATGTTGGATTTTGAAAACCAACCAATAGACCCTGCAATTGTGTCTGCGCAGCCTATGAATCCAGCTCAAAGCATGGAGCTGCCTCAGATGGTCTGCCCTCCAGGTAAGTGTCTTGAGTATCTTTCTGCTCTATATCAGACATGAATAAACATTGTGCTTTTATACTGCCGTCAGTGGTCTCTTTATTCTTTAGAATGTTAGGAATAGGACATCATTAAAAGATTTGAAAGCCAATTGAAAATAATAAACGTTTTGGCTCTAACTTTTTTTTTTTTCTCTCTCCAGTACATTCTGAGCCCCGGCTATCTCAACCCAGCCAAGTTCCAGATAGCACACAAGTGAGTGTGTTTTTAATATACAATAATTTGCAATTTATTTTGAAAGCAGCTTGTTCCACTGAGAACAAAAAACAAAGATTATCCATACTTGCCTCTTTGGAGGGTGGGAAGTCTTAAAGTGCTACTAATCCCAGGACCCTGCATTCACTATATCTGGTCTCCCACTGTAAATAGGAGAACATGGAAGTGCAATTATTTTAGTAAATATAAACTGCTAAATACCTTCTCATCAACAGAGAAATCTTGTGACTTTTATCGGTGTCCAGCCGAGCACATGTTAAACCTTGTAGGAGGCGTTTTCATTCTGCTCTAGGAAGATGCAGATCCCCTGACCTCTGTCTGGACAGTGCTGATTGGCCCTGTTCTGATGACCTGCACTCTCACAAGGAAAGAATAAACCTCTCTAGCAATACACACCAAACTAAGCATGTGCAGAGTGTCTCCACACGATATGTCTTATCAGGAGATGAGGGGGACACTGGAAGAAGGTGGGTATCAGTGAAGTCAGGATCAAACCGCCTTTTTACACAACACAGAGTATTAACCCCTTAGGTTCCACAGCGAGTATAACAAGCATGCATTACTGCATATACAGACTGATTTTACTGTTGTAGGTTTAGTAACACTAACTTCCTATATGGTATGTTACACGATCTTTCTAAAACTAAATATGAATTGGGATCAGCAGCGTAGGTCTTTGGCTTAGATATTGTACTTTTGCACTTTTCCAAGTGTTTTTTTTCTGTGTCCTGGTCTAAACAGATGCCCCAGTGTTCTACCACCAGGGTAACCTCCTGGCACTATGGTCTCAAATTTGAACACTCCAGTCCAGGAGTGGTCTAATTTTTTTTTGCTTGAGTCTGGTGAGGTCTTTCAAGGCAGGCCCAGTTTCAATCCATACCTCTACAACACAACAGGCTGTCATGGGTCAAGTTGATCTAGTCTATTGATAGAACAATTTGTTAGGCCAGGTTTTCCTTGGACTCCAGAGCCTGATTCCTGAATTGCCAGGCCAAGTCCCTCCTTTGTCTTGTTTTTTGGAGTCTCCTTTCCGGAGTAACTTTCTGGAACTTCGAGTGCTTTGGCTGACTATGCAGCATAAGACCTTCCTACTGGAGAGCTTTCTGAGAAGATTGTTGGGCAATCCCACAGCAGTTACCTATATCAATAGTCAGGGAGGAACCAGAAGTCTCGGTGTAGCAAGCGGTAGCTTGTATCCTTCTCTGAGGCAGATCTAGTCTCAGGCAGACATATCAGCTGGCTGTGCCTGCATCTGGGAGATTTGTCACTAAACCTGGTGGTGTTCAGGATCTGTTGCAGGTGGGGGGATACCATATGTGGACCCTGGCCTCCAGGTTTGGCAACAAACTGGACCAGTTTGTCTCTGGTTATAGGGATCCTCTACTGCAAGCAGTAGATATTCTGATCACTCCATGAGACTAGTATATGCTGATCCATACCTTTCCTCCGCTGAAACGTCTTCCTGCTCTTTTACAGGATCATGAGCACATTCTGATGATCCTCATTGGTTGGGCAGATATGGTACACTGACCCAGTTACACCCCATTCACATCGGTGCGATTTGTGTTCCCTGAGACTTGCAAATCGCATGCCAAGTCGCGCACTAAGGTCCGTAATTGGAGCGGTCATATTGGTGCGGTCCCGACTTGGTCGGAGCCGAACTGATTTCAAAGGTAGTTTTTTTTTGTGCTACTTTTTTTGGTGCGATTTGCATAGGCATCTGTATCAGATGTCTTGCAAATCGCACCTGAATTCAGCGGGTCCCCTGACTTTGAAAGTCACACTATTTCAAAAGTCGGGCTTGATGTGAACGGGGGCTAACACTCCAGCAGACACTTTGTGGGCTCTACCAAATCTTAGGGGATCTTCTGTCCCAAGGACTGATTTGCCTTCCTTTTTTCTGCCATTTACTTTAATGGCATGGCTGTTTGAAGCACAGATTCTGAGGGACAGGCATCAGTCTTCATTTCTACAAAAGCTAGGAAGCCTACTAGCAAGGTCTGTTATTGGACATGGTAGGGTTATTTCTTGAGTTTCTACATGGAATAAATTCTGTCCTTCCTACAGCTGGGTTGTGGAACAGCATCTAGCTCTCTGTACTCAGTTTTCTCCGATGGCTCCCTCCCATCCATTTCTGTGACCTGAATCCGGTTCTCTCAAACCATCAAATTACTGTACTAAAGCATTAAACCTTTTCTCTCTGCTCACCCACGAGGTGGTGTTACTTGTAGTGATGACCTCTGCAAACCCAGTGTCTGAGCTGGTAGCCTTATCCTGCAAGGAATTCTTTTTTGGGTCAGCATAGAGACAAGGTGGTGATGAAAGCCCAGGACCTCTTGCCTAAGGTGGTTTTTCTGCCTTTCCAGGAGGTTCTCCTGTTCCTTTGGCTGTATACAGTTCAGCAAAAGTAAATTTCCCTGTGTTGTCTGAGCTGTGTATTTTCCAGCTGCTGCCTTTAAGGATGAATGAATTTGGCATCCCTGTAACGGTGGACCAGCTTCTTGTTTGACCATCTCTAGGTGCCTCAAGCAGATAATCTAAGCTTGTGGTCTCCAAGGATTGGGTGCCAACTTTCCCTTTTCCAGGCACAATTTTTTAATTTTGAGTCTGAACTCCTAGTATTCTGTTTACTTGTTCTCCAAGTGAACTCTTTGAACTTGTATGATGCCTGCTTTGTACATAATGTCCTTTCACACTTCTTTGAGTTCCAGGCAATCGCGGAGTGGTGGTTTTCACCCCTTTGCTTCCTAGTTTGTGGTCTAGCCAAAATATCATGCATCCCATGAGTCTACATGGGCTTTTTTTTTTTTTTTCCCCAGGATAGACTCCCAGCTAAGTACATGGTATTAAAATTAGTACTTAAAGCAGAGCTCCACTCAAAAGGGAAAGCTCCACTTCAAGCCTTTGTCCCCCGCTCCCCATTAAGGATTGACACCTTTGGGGAGTGGGTATCCACTTCCGCTGCGATCGCCTAGGTGATCGGAAGCGGAAGTTGTCCTCCCTCCCCATAGTCTTCTGGGACATGTGACAGGTCCCAGAAGACTACGGGGCCATTCACAAAGCGCAGCGCTTCCCGCACGTGTGCAGTGGGCACCCGGCTGTGAAGCCGCAAGCTGTCGCAGCTGGGTGCCCACACTGAAGATGTCGGCACCAGGGAGAGAAGATGGCTGGTGAAACCAGCCGTGGTGAGGACATCACTGGACCAAGGAACAGCTAAGTGTCTGTATTTTAAAAGTTGGCAGCTACAGTTTTTGTAGCTGCTGACTTTTTATTTATTTTAAGGGGCTTTAAGAACGTTATTTAAATTCTACGAACATGCTGTGTATTGTCTTTCTTGATTTGACTTGTTGACCAAATGTTGCAGCCATTGTTCTTGTTAGACATTCTCACAATAAGAGAATTAAATTGGGTTTTCAGTTTGTGGTGGTCAAATAGTTAAAGTCCCCCTTTTTTTTTAAAGACGTGTCTCTCTTCTGGATGAGTGTTGTGTTTTTGTTGTTGTTGTGGGTTTTTTTTTTTTTTTTTCTTCTCCCAACCCCCCTTTTAATCCATGTGAAAATCTATTTTGGTGTCCATTGAGGGACCCCTCTGTTTTAAAATGCTCACAGTACTGCTTTGCTACAAAATCCTAAGGCATGCTGAAGGTGGGAGGGGTTGGTTTTCCTTTTCAGTGTCCATTTCTAAAATTGACTCAAAGGCTAAAGAGCTGAGTTCTTCAGTTGACCCCAAGAGAGACTTTTATGGGGAGTGCAAAAATGTCATGTTTTTTTTTTTTTTTGTTTGTTTTTTTTTTTTTTTGAGTACAAAAATTATTTTCTTGCTCAGTTTTTCTTAATGCGATGTACATTTTCTGCTCTTAAGGTTCCCCTGGTATCTTCCACTAGTGAAGGCTTTGCCGGCTCTCCACAATTGTACCAGCCTTCTCACCCCACAGAACAGAGGTCACAAAAAGAAGCCATGGAGCAGATTCAGGTTGGTAACATAGCAAGCTTAAAGGGGACTTTTTTTTTTTTTTCCACGACTGAATGCTTGGTTTTGGGTGGACTACCAATCTTGTGTTTATTGCTGTTTAATTTGTTCCAACCACATCTTGTTTCCAGGCCTCTCTGTCTTTAAGTTCAGATCCAACGCAAACTTCCTCATCGCTTCCTGCTGCTTCCCAACCTCAGGTGTTCCAGACTGGGTCCAACAAGCCGCTGCACAGCAGTGGTATCAATGTGAATGCTGCTCCATTCCAGTCCATGCAGACCGTAAGCATATCAAGCTTCTTGAGTTCATTGCAAACTGTCATGCATTGCATTATTCCCCTTTTTTATATACATCTGCCCTTGTGGCATCGTGGAATATTTTGCTGGTGTTCATTTACTATATCATTTTTGTGTAACAGGCTGTTTAACCTCCTCCATAGTTTATAAAAGCTCTCACACAGGCTTTTAAAATGGATCATTTGCTGGCTGTTCTTGACACCATGTTTATGTTAGGAGTGTAAAGTCCTATACAGCATTTTGAAAGCTCTACACACGCCAGTGAGGCTGAAGCCCCCCCCCCCCCCCTTCATTACAAACTGGCAATGTACAGGATCACCTAAACACTTGAACATTGGCCACATACAGAATGTAATCTCTTTTGCCAGATTGTAATAAAGAATGTCAGGCTCACCAGTTTGAGATAATCTTGTATGTCCTGGATGATCAGATGGATCTGTATCTCAAGTCTGGACTGATCTGGGGCACCTTTTCTCCCCCCCCCCCCCCCCCCCCCTCAAAAATGTTTTAGCTGAAGCTGGATATGCTTTACCTGATTGTACAACTGAATTTTTGCTTGTTCCTAATGTGCATTTTTTTTTTTTCTCTTTTCCCTCATTAGGTTTTTAATATGAATGCACCTGTCCCTCCTGTGAATGAGGCAGACACGCTGAAACAGAACCAGTACCAGGCCAGTTACAGTCAAACCTTCCCAGGCCAACCACACCAAGTGGAACAAAGTGAACTTCAACAAGAGCAGCTACAGTCTGGTAATAAAAAAGCCTGTTCACTCATAATTGGGTCTTGCAGTAACTGATCAATTTTATTTATTTTAACTAATTATAAACCACATCAAGTCTAAAATGTCAGATTTTTTTATTTTTATTGAAAGAGAAACCGAATCTAGAAAAATGGTGCATACAAATCATAACACGTGCGATGGTGCCTGCACAGAGGCCCAACCTTCAGTACTAAAATGTCAGAATTTAATGCAGTGTTTCCTGTGGTTTACACAATAGCCACAGGATATCCATGAAATGTTTCTCATTTTTTATTTTTTTTTTGTGAGGTACATTTTTGATTCTTGGTTATAATTGTGCAAAGAGTATGTCTGAAATAGTGTGTGGTGTTTTTATGTGGCATAAAAGCTTCAGAGGAAACCTGTGCTAACAAATGACCAATCTACCTCCTGTAAAAGGCTAGTTGCTTGACTGCATTTTAGCACTTTGCGTTAAAGTGGAACTTTAGTCATAATATTAAGTCCTGCTGGATCATGTCAGACTGGCCCCTTTTGCAGGTATTGCTATGTAAAACTTTGAAAATGAGTGCCTATACTGTTTTAAAATATGGTAATGCACCTTCATCCTTCTCTGCTCAGTTGAGCTCTGTTTTTAGGCATAGTGCTGAATTTGTAGAGGCTCATCTGCTGATAGCCAAAAGACTGCTGCTCAGGTACTCTGGGCTTCAGCAAAATGGCAGCCTCCAGAAAGAAGAAATGGGAACAATGCTGGAGGCAGTTTACATCGCACACTAATTTTGCATAATTTTATTAATGAGGAAAGTTTCTTAAAAAAAAAAAGTTCTTTAGCAAGAAGTTATGGGTGAAGTTCCACTTTAATGACCAGGGGTAGGCATGCAGATCAGCAACATTGGAGTGAAGTCAGAAATTCTGATTGTTCTGCTTCAGTGACCTCATAGTACTGAAGCCATTGACTTGGCATGACTGTCATTTTCCAGTAGAGGGGTTGGCAGTGGCAACCTTCATGTAGGTTGCATTTAACACTAGCAGGTTGCATTAAATATTGGTACATTTTAAAGCATCACTCCAGCCAAAACCCTTTCAATTTTAAAAAATAAGATTTTATTCTATCAGATATTTAGTGCCACCTAATTGGATATTCCTTCCACTTCCTGTTCCTTTGAAAATTATTCTTGGAGTTGGGCTTTTGAGTCTGAAGTGCTTGCATTGTAGGCTCTGTGCAGTGTCTCACTGTGACTCTTCTGTTTCAGTGGTAAACACTTACCATGCAGCATCGGACCAGTCCCACCAAGCTTCCACTGGCCACCAACAGCAGACACAACAGAACACTGGCTTCCCCCGCAACAGCCAACCCTTCTACACAACAACAGAGGGATGACCCGAGGAGGGCAGCGTGGTGGCAGGGGCATGATTAATGGCTACAGGGGGCCATCCAATGGTTTCAGAGGCATGTCATGAGGCTGAGCAATCTTTTCATGATGCACATTTTTAAATACATAAATTTCTTAGCTTAATTTGTTTTCTCTGCTTAACGTTCTGTAGGAGGATATGATGGCTACCGCCCTGCCTTCTCAAACACTCCAAACAGCGGTTACTCACAGGCTCAGTTTAGCACACCTCGAGATTATACCAACAACTACCAACGGGTGAGATGCACATTCTCTTTCTGGAGCCTTCTTGTTGCTGTATAACCTATTTAAAGGTTAAATATGACCTTTTGATATGGTGTGCAGTCTTTAGATTTAGCCCCACTTTGTGTGTGTGTGTGTGTGTGTGTGTGTAAATATGACCTTTTTGATATGGTGTGCACTCTTTTTAGATTTAGCCCCACTTTGTGTGTGTGTGTGTGTGTGTGTGTGTGTGTGTGTAAATATGACCTTTTTGATATGGTGTGCAGTCTTTAGATTTAGCCCCACTTCGTGTGTGTGTGTGTAAATATGACCTTTTGATATGGTGTGCAGTCTTTAGATTTAGCCCCACTTTGTGTGTGTGTGTAAATATGACCTTTTTGATATGGTGTGCAGTCCTTAGATTTAGCCCCACTTCGTGTGTGTGTGTAAATATGACCTTTTGATATGGTGTGCAGTCTTTAGATTTAGCCCCACTTCGTGTGTGTGTGTAAATATGACCTTTTGATATGGTGTGCAGTCTTCAGATTTAGCCCCACTTCTTATGCGCGTGTTCGCGAGTGTGTTCCTACCAATTCTTAACACTGAAGTGTTCAAACACACATAGGAAAGTTGAATTCCACGAATTCTTAACTTTGCTAAAAGTACAGGCACATGATTAGTCAAGTCCAATTAGGTGCATGTCTCCTTGGGACTTGTTTCTATTACTTATGTGACCGGTTTATTGCACTCCTGGGAGGATGCAGGGATGGGACAGGTCAGTGCTGTGAGAGGAGAGATGCACACAGTAGCTATGCTCACCCCTACACTCTGCTGCCTGTTCAAGTCTTTGTATTATGTGAACTCATTAACAAAATAAAGGCTTCTGTGACTGGGCAGAAGAGGGGGAGGGAAGCGCATGGTTCCAGCGACTCTGCTCTTGAAGGAACAGTCAGAGCTCTGGGAAGCTATCTGGAGCACAATAAACCTGTCAGAGGTGATAGTCTAGGAGGTGGCAGGAACCTTGGTAGACTTCACATGGTATGTTTGCAGTTTTTAGAGTAGCCGAATTCCTGGAATTCCAGTTTAATAAGCATACCTTTTTGGCTCCCTTCACACCAGCCTATGTAATGTTCAAGCTCATTGATTGGGCTCAATTAAACCAAAAATAATGCTAACGTTTCATACTCTTGTTAGATTTTGTGACTTGAGTTTCTTACATGTAGTGCAAGTCTGCAAGAGATGTTGGGGTGTTTGGTTTTTTTTATTCCAGCCTGCAAAACTGTTTTTTGTAAAGTGTCATTTGTAATTTGACAAACTCCTTGTTTCCTTTTCTAGGATGGATATCAGCAAAATTTTAAGCGTGGCACCGGGCAGGGAGGTCCTCGGGGCGCTCCTCGAGGTAATGCTCAAGCGATGCACTCCTAACTCAGCTTCAACAAACTTCGAGGGCGCAGGCCTGAGGAATAGAAGGAAAATTTTTCGCCCTTTCCCCTCCCCTCGGTAACATGCCTAGATCTCATCGGCCACACTAAATCTCCCCACAGCACCAGTTTGGGAATAGTAACTCGTCTCACTTGGGTGCTGAGTGAGAGGGTCAGCTCTTGTACATGATCTGTAGAGGCACCAGAATAGCAGTTTTAACGCTCGATGGGGAAAAAATTGCTTTCGCTAGAATGACTCGCCTTTTTTTAACCACAGAATTCTCCTGAAAACTTGAAGTTTTAATTTATTTTTTTTTTCTTAAGCTTTACTACTTGTTGCTGCCTTTTTTTTTTTTTTTTTTTTTTTTTTTTTTTTTTCTTCCCCCAACCAACATGGAGAGTGTAAAAAAACAAACAAAAAACATCATTTTTTTAAACTTTTTGCAAGCAAATCATAATAAAACTGTCTTACCCATCGCTATTAAACTTCCCAAAACTCTGAATTTGTGAATCGTTGCTTGAGTTTCAATAAAGTTGTGTTAAGTCAACTGCAGCTGGATGCGAAGTATTTTGTGGTCTGGTTTATTAGACTCTGCTAGTGTGCCGTGCATTCCAGTGCTCTGAGATTTTCAATGGCAACAGTAATGAACTCCGTGTGCACACAATCCACTTGCAACTAGCCTGACATCGGCTTGACTTAGTAAAATGGAATACATTTTAAAAGGTGTTGGTTTGGGGGGGTTAATGTGTATTTTGTAAAATCTGAAGCAGCGGCTACAGATGTTTCAGACTGGGGGGGGGGGGGGGGGGGGGGTTGCTGATATAGAAACTTTAGCTGCAATACTATGAATTTTTGTTCTTTTGGGTTAGTAAGCTAACTGAACCTTTGGGTAGTTGCATTGGTTTTCTTTTCACTTTTTTTTTTTTTTCCTCCTCCTTTTATGATAACTTGGTAATCCTTCCATTAACACCCTTCCTGTCCTCGAGTGATGACTGGTATTGAGCAGCATAGCCACCCTGAAAAAAAGCGGGCTAGGATGGGAACACCTTCCTCTCCTACAAAAGAAGAGAGGCTTTGTAGTCCAGAGCTAGCGTGGATCATGCTAGGTCCAGAGGCAGAGGGTAAAGGACGTCACAAGATTCTGACTGGGTGAACAGCTTATGTAGTATTCTATGTATTGTTTTTCACTTGAACAGATAAATACACAATTGAAAGTGTTTTTATAACTTGCCAGAAGGGACAAAATAGGACATTTTATTGATGGTGTGTGTTTTTTTTTTTTTTTTTTTTTTTTTTTTTTTTTCCTTTTTTTTGACAAAACTAGGGCAAAATCTGAAGGTCGATACCAAATATCTTTTTTTAAAGAGGTTTGATGACAAACTAAATGTTATAAAACCTCTAAGGGCATTACTTAACCACTTGCCTGCCTGAGGATTTACTTCCTCTTCCTGACCAGGCCATTTTTTTGCGTTATGGCGCTGCGTTACTTTAACTGACAATTGCGCGATCATGCAACACTGCACCCAAATGAAATGTCTTTCCTTTTTTTTTCCCCCACAAATTGAGCTTTCTTTCGGTGGTATTTGATTGCCAGTGTGGTTTTTTTTTTTTTTGCGCTATAAGCAAAAAACTTTAATCAAATTTCATCATAAATTTAGGCCAAAATGTATTGTGCGACATTTCTTTGCTTAAAAAAAAAAAAAATCCCAATACGTGTAAATTGGTTTACATGAAATTTATAGCGTTTACAAATGGTGGTATAGATACTGGGTTTTTTTTTTCTACTAGTAATGGCGAACAGTGACTTTTAGCAGGACTGCGGTGGACATTCTGACACTGGGGGGGGGGAAACTAACTTGGTGTCACTGACACGCCAGTGACACCAATACAGTGGTGATCAGTACTAAAAAACGGCACTGACCCTGTACTAATGGCACTGGGCAGGAAGGGGTTAATGTGAGGGGCAATCAAAGGGTTAACTGTATGCAGGGAGTGTTTTTACTAGGGAGCTGTACTGTGTGCAGCCACCCCAAGCAGTGTGCTCGAGCTGACAGGCAGGAAGATTGTTTGTAAACAAAACAATCTTCCTCCCCGTCGGAGATGCTTGGTAATCACTGGGCGCCGACAGCTAACTACTGTCCATGACCCGGTGATTGACATCTGCGGCCACGAATGGTGGCGTGGGTAAGGCTCGCTCCCCCTACCCGGAAATGCAAAATTGTGTATATATACGTGATTCTGCACACTGGAGCAGTATATCTGCTATAGGGCGGTCCTTAAGCAGTTAAGCAAGCATAGCTACCCTAGGACAGGGAGTGTTGTTTGTAGGATTACCAGGTGTAAGTAAAGGGGGAAAAAGCCTGAAAATGGAAACTATTACAGCTTCTAAGGACTGATCAGCTGGGATTTTTTAAACTTGTTTTTGTGTTTAGATGCCCCCCCCCCCCTTTCCTTAAGTGTCACTGCTGCTGATCAGCCTATGGGGCTACAACAACTCAGAATACTGCTTTGTTTTAGAAACCCTTAGCAAAGTTGGACTTGAGTGTGACCTGCTGAAGAAGGCAAAACTGCCCTCCAAGCAGCTGTAGCCCCAGAGCAGGGAGGTCTAATTTCAGAGGAAGTGAAGGTATGATGGATCAGCCTTTTCAAATACCATCATTCTAGTAGATGTGTTCTTATAGTGGCTTATGAAGCATTTTCCACAAAGCAAAGTATCTACATAAAAAGCAGTTGTCATTTTGAACTCTAGGCTGCAGCTTTTGTCTATTAAAGCCCGGTTCACATATATGTGGCTGTGCGGGCCGCGTTTTGCACGGGCACGAGGGCCCATTCATTTGAATGGACTCCCATGCCCGTGACACGCAGGGAAGAAGTCCCTGCACATCTTTTGAAAACTCAGCCCGCACGGGAACCGAGGTTTCCAGTGCGGGGGGTGTGCTATTAAAACTAATTGCACCCACCCGCGGGTCCGCATTTCTCTGTGTGGGTGGTGCGGCTGCACGGATTTTCATGCGGATCCGCAGCTGCACCACCCGCACAGATTTGAACCTAGGGTAAGACTTCTCTCACGTGACATCTCTGCATGTCATGTTTGCTGATCTGGTGATCGTATACAACCCAGAAGTTGGAATGGCGGTTTCCAAGTGCTTCAGGTTTGCTTTGTGATTGCTGTTGGGTGATTGAGGTGAGCATTTTTCCTTCAGTTCTGTATGTAGTAGCTGACAACTCCCTGCTAGTGTGTATTTGCAGAATGTGCTTGTTTCTGGCTGCCCCTTCAGTATGTGCCTGAACACCGAGTGAATGTTCCTTTTGTGTGCCAGTAGAGCTTTTCAATTTAGTTTTCTGTTGCTGAGCCATGTCTCAGTCTTTAGCTTTCCTCTTTCCAGCCCCAGTAAAGACAAACCTCTTATACAAGCCCTTTTCTGTGATGAAAAGTTGTTTTCTCTCTTAAATGAGGAACTTGGCTAAATGGCGAAGTTCATCTAAACCTACACTTTTTTTTAACACTCTAAAGCAGAGGGTACAAAAGAGAACTTGGTAGATGCCTAGAAATATGCTCAGTAAATAGAAGCCTCTGGTTTGCCTTATGCAGAACTGTTGGGTTCTCCATTCAAGCCTTGTATGTTGCTTATTGCTGTTCACTTACAGCCCAACTTACGGCTGTGGCATTTTTTTTTCTTTACAACAAACATTTGGAAATTTCAAGTTTGAGAATTGTGAAATCTGTTACTTTTTTTTGCTATACCCATATTTTGTTTTCCATAAGCCATCTTGTGAAGTCTTAGCTTTCTGGTGGAAGGCTGCAACTTACAATGTGATGGAAACAAAGTAGTAACTTCCTCTAAAGGATGTTCTTGGGGAACTTTAATTCCTGTTCTGGTAACTGCGCATTTCATAGGGCAGATTTATAGCCACCTTAAAGTGTAAGTTCAACTTTTGTCTATTAAAAAAATTCACATCTTATTAAAATATATGCATTTTTTTTATTTTTTATTTTTTGTAGGAGCCTGTAAAGCATTGCACATGTGCAGATCACAGGTGTAATCTTAGGCTCCTGCAGACTGTCAGTGTAGTTGTCTGCCCACACCTTGCGTGGGCAGGCAGTTACTGAATGACAGGAAGCATCAATGAACTACCTAGAGCGCTCATCATCACCCTGGTAGTTCATTGAGAACAACAAGCCGTCAGCTGTAATGGCTGAGGGTAGTTGTAGTTAACTCATCCAGAGCTCTGTAAATGAGTAGTGCAGCTGGTTTCTTCCAGGTTGACAGTAGACTGGGGATCTTCTCCCCGTATCTGCTTGCACAATGAAAGGGGCGGATTTGTGGGGCTGCTGCAACAGTAACATGTTACACCCTGAATATCCTTTAACCTTCCCTTTCTTCTGCTCTTAACTGCTCCTAGTGCTTGCTTTACTCAATGCAGCTGTCAATCAGAAGGCGGAACTTGGAGAAGCTAAGTTCTATGCTGTCATGGCCGCTGAACCCTTGTGCAAATGCAGGTGTAAGGATTATGCACTATATAGGAGGAAAAACGAAGTGTTAAATCACATATCACGTAGAATTTTACTAAAACAGAGAGCAAAATCTGGTGCAGCTCTGCATAGAAACCAATCCGCTTCCAGGTTTTATTGGTAAAGCTTAATTGAACAAGCTGAAGTTAGATGCTGATTGGCTGCTATGCACGGCTGCACCAGATTGAGTGCTCCAATTTTAGTAAATCTACCCCTTAGTTGTGTAGGAGTACATATGTTATTTTTAATGTGCAATTTCAGAGTGTTTGCATTATAATTCTTAAAACCACTTGCCCTCCAGAGTATTTAACCCCCCCCTCCTGACCAGGCCATTTATTTTTTTTTGTTTACGGCACTGCGTTACTTTAACTGACAATTGCACAGTCATGCAGTCTGTACATAAATGAAATTTTATGCCCCCCACCCCCATAAATAGAGCTTTCTTTCGGTGGTTTTTGATCACCTATGCGGTTTTTTTTTTTTTTTATTGTTTTTGCGCGCAAAAAACAAAAGGATTTTCAGGAAAAAAAAAAACATTTTTGACTGTTTTACTTTTTTTATTGGACATGTTTTATAGCAATTTTATACTGGTAATGGTGGCGGTCAGTGACCTAAAGCGGGACTATGGTGGGAATTCTGATATGGGGGGAGGGGGGGTTGTTGAGAATAACTGCCAATGACATTAATACAGTGATCATTGCTAGTAAAAAGCACTGACACTGGGCAGGAAGGGGTTAACATCTGGGGCGATCAAATGGTTAACTGTGTGCTGTTTTATTGTATGTGCTGCTGTGTGTGTGTTTTTCTAGGGAAACATGCTGCTGAGTATTTCTCTGCTGTGCAGCATGTTATTTCTGGCAGGAGAGACCTGTGCTTATACACAGGTCTCTCCCCTGTCAGTGTTGCTTAGCGATCGTCGGCGATCGACATCTGTAGCGCACGCCCCCACCCTGAAATGAAAAATCGTGTGTGTGTGTGTGTGTGTGTGTGTGTGTGTGTGTGTGTATATATATATGTGTGTATATATATATATATATATATGTGTGTGTGTATATTATGCCCCTTAAGGGTTAGGGATATATGTGTGTGTGTGTGTGTATGTACAATATTATGCCCCTTAAGGGTTATGATGTAATGTACAAAATATATGCGCTGCGTAAATTGACGGCGCTATAGAAGTACTTGATATTGATGATATATAGTGTGATTTTGCGCAGCCCTGACACCCTGTAGCAGTATTTCTGCTATAGGGCAGCGGGGATGCAGTTAATATATTTTTAAGAACATGCAAGGTTTTTTTTTTCTTTGTTTTTTTTTTTTCTTTCTTGACTGCGTAGCAAGCATTGAACAGCAGCGCACGTTTTTGTTGACCTCTGTTCTTGGAACTCTTTATGCCACTCTCTTGGCACTGGCAAACCATTAAATCATTTAGGCCTCTAGACATGCGGGCTAAGGCAGTTGACTATATAAGAAGCCATATTACGTTCCTTACTTTTTAAAGCCAGCTATTTCGTTTTTCAGGTCGCGGAGGGCCCCCAAGACCTAGCCGAGGAATGCCACAAATGAACAGTCAACAAGTCAATTAAATCGTTGGAAGGAAGGCTTGCCCACCAGCTGGTGTTAAAAGCGTTAACTTTTTATTTTTTACCTTCCCCTTGCCAGGATATCTTTTTGCTTGTAAGGGGACTGTTTTATTGTTGCCTGGTTTAAGATGAGATTACAGTTGTCAGAATACTTTAACTGGATATGCAAAATCATCTAACACTGATAATGCTGCATGTTCTTCTGTACTCCAGTAAAGAACCCGTGGCAGCTTCAAGTTCATGAAGGACAGGACACTTGAATGGTTTTCTCATTAAGTTTTCCGGTTACCTGTTAAATTTCTGCCTTTGTAATGTAACCACTTGGGGCTCGAGCTGGAAATGAACATGTACCCACCTTAGACCCTGGATCCTTAAATGATCAGTATATACTGGGCATTACTAGGCCTGTTTTCCTGACCAACAATACATTTGGCAGCGGGATTGCTAATGCTATCCTGTCTTGGGCCTGCACTGCTATTGTGCTCCATCGCTTTACTATCATTTGAGAACAGACTTTCATTCATTTCACAGCTTGAGAACGTAATCATCCGTTATAGGATCATTTGAAGGACATGCTAGTCTGGTTTGTGTGTACGTTCGAATGGATTCCAAGTTACCTGCGTTTAGTAGTTCCATGTTGGATAAGTCACAGAACTTCTGCTACAGGATTGCCAAGGGGCCCCATCTTTTCATGTTTGGGATCGTTTAAACAGCCATTTGTGGTTCATATCCCCAGGGAGGGAGACCAGTAATCTGGCAATTAAAGGATCAATCATTTTGAACAGAGGCAAATAAAAAAAACCTGTTTATATAAAGTGGCTGTTTTATGTTGAGTGAACATTCCAAGCTGCAATGGATGTGGTGTATAATGTGTGGGTTTGTTTGAGTTGTTTTTTTTATGGAAAAAATGTAAAAAAGGTAATGAGAAGTCCTCAGAGGACCTTATTTTATTTATTTTTTTTTTTTATGCTTCTTGAACATGGATCTAGGGATCCAAAGAGTCACCAGGGACAGTTCTCGTGTGTGTGTGTGTGTGTGTGTGTGTGTGTGTGTGTGTGTGTGTGTCACCAGGGACAGTTCTCGTGTGTGTGTGTGTGTGTCACCATCAGGGTGTGTGTGTGTGGTGTGTGGTTGTGTGTGTGTGTGTGTGGTACACATAGATCACCATCACCTGGAGTGTGTGTGTGTGTGTGTGGTGTGGTACATCATAGATCCTGGAGTGTGTGTGTGTGTGTGTCACCAGGGACAGTTCTCGTGTGTGTGTGTGTGGTACACATAGATCACCATCACCTGGAGTGTGTGTGTGTGGTACACATAGATCACCATCACCTGGAGTGTGTGTGTGTGTGTGTAGTACACACCTGGTGTAGATCACCATCACCTGGAGTGTGTGTGTGTGGTACACATAGATCACCATCACCTGGAGTGTGTGTGTGTGTGGTACACATAGATCACCATCACCTGGAGTGTGTGTGTGTGTGTGTCACATAGGGACAGTTCTCGTGTGTGTGTGTGTGTGTTGTGTGATCACCATGTGTGTGTGTGTGGTACACATAGATCACACCATCACCTGGAGTGTGTGTGTGTGTGGTACACATAGATCACCATCACCTGGAGTGTGTGTGTGTGTGGTACACATAGATCACCATCACCTGGAGTGTGTGTGTGTGTGGTGGTACACATAGATCACCATCACCTGGAGTGTGTGTGTGTGGGTACACATAGATCACCATCACCTGGAGTGTGTGTGTGTGGGTACACATAGATCACCATCACCTGGAGTGTGTGTGGTACACATAGATCACCATCACCTGGAGTGTGTGTGTGTGTGTACACATAGATCACCATCACCTGGAGTGTGTGTGTGTGTGGGTACACATAGATCACCATCACCTGGAGTGTGTGTGTGTGTGGTACACATAGATCACCATCACTGGAGTGTGTGTGTGTGTGTGTGTGGTACACATAGATCACCATCACCTGGAGTGTGTGTGTGTGGTACACATAGATCACCATCACCTGGAGTGTGTTACAGATTGAGGTTGAATCACTTAGGGCCCTTTTACATGAGTGTTCAGTTTAAATCTGTCAGGTTTGTGGATGGATCCAGACTAAGCCGTAATGTATTTCTGAGCGGCAGATGTGAACAAACAACTGTTGGCTTAAATCCACCAGCATTTAAGTCTGTCCTCTGAGAAGGAAAAAAAAAGGAAAAGGTATGCATCCATTCTGTTTTTTAGGCTCCATTCACACTTGAGCGACTTAGAAAAGGTTCCTGCACTACTTCGAGGTAACGGGAGTCTCGTTAAGTCACATTCAAAATCGTGTGACTTTGGAGTCTTATGACCATTTTCATGGAAGAAACCTTTTTTGTTTTATGTTCTATCACCTCTGACTATTTTTACTTCAACTAAGAAAAACTGACATAAACTGAATCGGTATTCATCAGTTCTCTTCTAAGCACAAAAAGTGAGTTAACGGATGACGCTAGTGTGTAAGGACTGTGAAACGGCAAGGGTATGATTTGCTTGTGTGCCTGCATATGTGAACCATGACTCTAGCAAGCTGAATGTATACTGATTTTCAGTCTGTATTGTGTGGTCTTCTTTTTTTTTTTTTTTTTTTTTTTTTCCTTGTCTGAATTGAACATCCAAAAGTTTTTATACCTCCTGTTCCAGTAGGGTTCACCTACTTTCAAAAACAAAACAAAAAAGGTAAAATAAGCCTAAAGGGTAGTTCCATCGGGGAAAAAAAGTCAGCAGGGACAAATGTCCCTCAGTCCAGCGGTGTCCTCACCACGGCTGGTTTCACTGGCAGTCTTCTCTCCCTGGCGCCAGCATCTTCAGTGTGGGCACCTGGCTGTGACCGTTTGCGGCTTCATAGCCGGGTGCCCATTGTGCATGCACGCTGTGCTTGTGACAGGTTTCAGAAGACTACGGGACCATATCCAGTGTCCCAGAAGACTACTGGGAGGAAGGGCAGAAGGACAACTTCCGCTTCTGATCGATGTGGGAGCGGGTACCTTTCAAATTCGGGTACCCGCTCCCCAAAGGTTTCAATCCTTAAGGGGGAGGGGGGGACAAAGGCTTTAAAGCGGAACTTTCCCTTTTGGATGGAGCTCCGCTTTAAATTAGATATTTTAATATGCTGTGTGGAAAGTTCAGTGACCCTATTTGGCTTGTGAGGCTAGGATTAGAAATTACTGGGGTCCTTATCACAATTTCCAGGCTGTAAATGTGTGTTCGGTCAGCCCTTTCAATATGATTGTTCTGTTGACACGCAGCAGCCTTAAAATATAACATGTCATGTTTTTTAATGCAATGCAGGTGTTGCTCACTACTGCAAGGCCTCATTTACACTAGCTTTGCTGTCCGAAGAGCAATCCAAACAGATTGCTATTCAAAGAGCCTTTGACAGGCATGGAGGAGGCATTGTATTGCCTTCTTACTGCCTGTTTTAGCCCCCTAAATGCAAGACTACTGAACGGTAACCGTGTGTATTGTGCTTGGTCCCACTGACTGCTGCCCGATGTACGTGATTGGGTATAATTCCTGCCGCAAACCTTTGCTGCATGTGTACATCCGTGACCACTGCACTTCCCAGATAAACAGGGAGTAGTGGGGGGGGAGGTAAAAATGTTGCGCCCCCCCCATCATCTGCTAATGTAATCAAACCCTAAGAGCCTTTGGTTTGTGGCCCAGCATCATTTACTAGCATTATTATTATACAGGATTTATATCGCGCCAACAGTTTGCTCAGCACTTTATAAGGGAGACAATACAGTTCAATACGAGGGATAGGAGGGCCCTGCTCCTCGTGGGTCGCATTTGACGGCGGTTGGGTCGCATTTGACTGACTGGCAGCAGGAGGATATACCTTGGGTATCTGAGCTGCCATGCCTGCCTTTCCCACTGGAAAAAAAGGTGAATTTGCCATTTTGGTAATGCAGAAGCTGGGAAAGCAAAAGCACTATGCGTTTTTTTGTTTTCCCCTGTGGTTTGAGGTGTGGAGGTGCAGTTAAGTGAATGGCAGCCCTGCGTGTTTCTAAATAGCAGTGCGTTTTGACTACAGGTGTGGGAATGGCCATTCATAATTATGTGATCTAGGCCTTAATCTAATCCCACCCTCTTTCTAAGCCTATTCGATGTACCCTGTAAAAGGAACGAGTTCTATACTTACTCTGAAGGCACTCTGGGCTGGTCACATGAACTCTACAGCTTTGCAGAGGTGAGATTGCCAGGACAACAGCCTGGAGCGGCTTCAGAATAGTTTAAGTATAGACATCTTTCCTTCTACATAACAGATAGAATAGGCTTCGAATGGGGTTGGAAGTAGATTTAACCCCTAGACGCCGAGTGCATGCAAATATGCAGCTTCTAGGCCAAGCGGCCATATTTTTGCATGCCATTAGAAAATACATATGTGCTGACAGCGTGCGCGCTCCCAGCACATATGTCTGTGACTCACGGAAAGGTCCCGATGTCCTGACCTTTTCCGATCATGTGACCTTGAATCACGGCAGTTGCATGACCCTAAAATCCCGCCCACCTCCTGGCTTCTGAAACTTAGTGCCGAGGCAAAGGGGTTAAGCTTAGTTAGATTTTGACTTGCCTTCCACTTTAAAGATCACATGGGCTGATATGTCTAAAACTGTTGAACAATATGGACTTTGGGGGGAATTAAGTGAGGGCACTTCTGACACTGATTTCCTTTTTTTTTTTTTTTTTTTTATTTTCAGCATAAGCACCATGGTGTTGCATATGCAAATAAACAGTTTTCCCACTTGCCTACAGCACTTGGTTAAATCTGAACTCCAGGAAGTTTTGGTAGGCAAATTTTAAACGCGGCACAAATGCAATATATGCTTTTCTGCAGCTTTCCATTGCAGTCTATAAAACCAAAAACACAATGTTTTGCGTTTAAAAAAAAAAAAAAAAAGTCATTGAACCTTTCCAACAAATGCACCGGGTGTAAACACAGAGATGTAAACCTGTCCCATAGGA